GAATTCCAAGTTGGACCAATTTTCAAACTACATGTATACCAGGAAGGTGCGTAAATACCTTTCATTAGATACAAAAAAGTGGCGCAGAAATATTGACAGTCTTTACAAGCTTCGCTGTAACTTTGAAACAAAAAGATCCGAATCACACAGAACACAAATTATGTCAAGAATAAAGAAACACCTCAATACTCATGGTGACTGATTAAAAAAAAAGAAGATTTAGTTTCCTCTGAAAAAAAAGTTGTTTAGGCCAAAAAAAAAAAGTCTCCGGTTTCTGGTATGGAGCTTGCCCCAAAAGTGGTGCGGCGACGCGGCTTTTTTTTTTTTTTTTTTTACTTTTTTTTTTTTTTTTTTGGCTTCAAATGTCGGCTGATGACTGCAAATGGTGCCGGACTAAACTTAGTGCAAATATATGGGAGTCCAGAGAGGTAACATAAAGCTTATTCTCGATCATAACCCCATCTAAAAACACGTTAAAATTGTGCAGCAGCAGAATTCCAGTCAAACCAGTGAGTTTGGCGGTTTTGAGACATCATCTTGTATTGAAAAAAAACTTTTTCATTTTGCCGACGCGCATGGCTACGGCGACGCGCGCGCATACCAGAAACCGGAGACTTTTTTTTTTTGGCCTTAACTGCTACATTTTTTGGAGTCACGCTGTACTATACACAGTTGTTTTGCCGGGAGAAACCGAAAATAAATATATGTAATGTAAATGTTTGTAATGTTCATGGGCGTCGCCAGCATTTTTTTCTAGAGGTGGCAAAACATATCCCCCCCAAAAAAAAAATCCTGTATTTCTCAACATATTCTCAATTTATCAGTTTTAGAGGGGGGGGGGGGGGGAGGGACATTTTGCCCCCTCCCAACCCATTAAATTTATACCAATATGACTTTGCGCCTCTTATTTTTCTTTTTTATTGCTTTTCCGGGGGGGGGGGGGGCAAGCGCCCCCTCGCGACGCCCATGTTAATGTTACGTCATTTGTTTCCCGTAGACCCCTTCTTCCTGACGTCACATCCGAGGGCAGGTCTATGTCCCTCTGTGATATCCATGGGTACACCCCTCGTATATTCACAGTCACCGACTCTAAACAACATAACATGTTCCCCAGTGAGGGCGCACAAGTGCAAGGTCCTGTACTCAACAGGTCATTCTCTAAACACCATAACTGATTTTGCTTATCTTATCTTTTAATAAGTTTTGAGATTGAGGGCGCTGCTTTATAATGTAGGCCTACAATGATATTACAAGCAATATTGTTTTGAATCCATCTATTGCATTTACAGCGTTTGCAACAAACAACCACACGTATCATTATGGAATACATTATTAAAATAAATAAAAAACAGTACATAAACAATAAAAAAAAAGTACACTATAAAATGAAAGACTTAGTCAACCAAGGTTTCAGATATTAATGTGACGTCATCGATGAGATGTACAATTTCAGAAATATACGCTTCTCTTAGTAAAATTTACAGCATAACGTTTGTAAACCAATATACATGTATAGACTTTATTCCCGAGTCGGCCATATTCAATTGAAAGCGAGGCAAACTCTTCATTTTTGGAACTTGAGAGTAAAAATAAGAGCAATGAAATAAATGTTCATTACAAATTAATACCAGTCTGCTCTGCTGAGTAATATGAAATTTGTGATTAAACATACCCTAATGTTTTGAGCCACATTTTAAAAGCAAAACGAAAGTGCGACTTGGCACCACAGACATATAAACATTATGTCTGTGCTTGGCACGCACTTCAATCATAAAATAGTCTGGCACCATCCCATTCATCAGTTTACATTATACAAAATACATGTAGATTCAGGGAACACGATCAAAAATGGCTTCGTCGGGAATATGGTCTATTGTAGGGCCTATGTACGTACACAGCACAGCAAACATATTCGCAACAAGTGGGCAAAATCACCTTGAATTATGCTACATAGTATAATTATTATAATTTACAATCAAGAACACGCAAAATGTCTTGCATAAAATTATGACTCACAGAGATTATGACCAAAGGGCGGATCTAGAGTTTCAAATGATATGCACTATAGATTTTATTGATTTTATCTCAAATATTGGTTTTCCACACGTGTATCGTAAACTTCCCAGGAACGAACATTTAATTCAATGCAAAACATCGTTTAGCTGCAATGTACATTTTAATTTGAAATTTGCACCAATATACTTGCATTGAAATTTCAGGTGAAAGCTTTCGGTGCAAGTTGAAATTGAAAATGTACATTGAAGCCCAAATGATGATGGTATGGACCGTAATTACAGTATCTTGTTATTGAATTACATGTGGTATGAATGCTCAAGTAACTGGGTAAACCTATGCATCTAGAGCTGTGGATATTCGAGTAAAACAAGTAGCCTGTCCCGATTTGACGAAAGAATGCGTTTGCCCACACATACATCAATGATGAGTGTCAGGAACCGAACACCATTTCAAAATAAAATTGATTTTTCAAGGTGTTATGTGCCTCCACCCGGGACACGCCCATGCTATGACAAATTATATGATAAAAAAATATCTGCAGCATTCAATATCTTTGATAGATATCCATAAATACGTAACCTTGACCTTGGTAGGGCTACTAATATGCAAATTGATGCCACTAGTACAGCTGCCATGGAAATATAATATAACAAAACGAAATAATGCGTCGTGAACTCACCGCAGCGCGTTAATACAGTGGCGCACACAATATTATGGAGCTTTAATCTAATCACCTCGTATGAGCAACCACGCCGAGGCTCTCAAAGATAGGCCGATGGAGGACATAGAACCTCTGCATTCGGCAGCCATGTTTGAGGTGTTTTGGTTATATAAATGCAGTAAACTTGAATACCCATATGGTGTACTATTAGTGCACCTGTATTAGTGTACTTTTATCTTGTGGAACAAAAGCATGCACCTCAAAGATGGCTGCAATGCAAAGGGTCTATTGAGGGTATATAGTTTCTTTTTAACCCTCAACACAGGCGAGAACATTGAAGCCCCCGGTCTCTATATAATATTGATGCACCTGGTCGTATAATATTTACGAACCCTTTTCTTGATATTAAACTTTTAATATTTCCTGGGCATTACAAACACATCGTGTGTGTTGCCTGCTGACCAGATGTGGTTCGTGTACAGCATGTACACCTGTACAGGGTGTCTCAAAAAAAGTAGCAGTCAATCCATAAATACATGTATTACAAATTCTAGCACTCTCTTTTGGCAAAGCTTATCTATAGAGGGTCTGAAGGTGTACGCTCTACACAATGGTCTTCATCCCATCTCATTTGGACACCCTAGCCCAGAGATAGAGCTTATAAAATAAAATGACTTTCCAAGTTGGGCCACTTGGTATCTAATGAAAGGCATTCACATACCAAGAAGGTGAAGAAAGTGGCCCAAACAGATTTTGACAGTCTTTACAAGCTTTGCCGTAAGTTTTAAACAAATGTTCCAAATCAAACAGAACAAAAATCCTGTCAAGGGTAAAGACACACTCTATAGTCTCATGGTAATTGTTCACCAAAAAAAGAGAGAAGTTTTACATGTAGTTTCCTAAAAAATAAAAAGTTGTTTGACTGCTACATTTGTTTAGACATACATACCGTGTACAAAGAGGAAAGCCCAACATAAACACTACAAAAATGCATAGCAATTATCTAACATTACCCTGTATAAACATGTACATGCATGTGTTACCTTGCACAACAGTTATTTAAACCAGTATCTTTAATTTGGCAAACTGAAAATTATTATTTTTTTTTAAAGCCGATCACATCAGTAAATGCTTACATGCTACACGTATTACAGCCTCACACGTAATTTGTATTATATGCTTCTTTAAAGGGAAGATACAACATATGCAAACATCACAAAACGAAATGATCAAATTATCACGAAGCACCTTACTGGATTGTTAGGGAATGACAGTCTGAAGCATCCTGTAAAATCGTGGCTCCTGGTTTGCTATCATTCTCAAGGAAAATGGTATTTTTCCAACGCTGGTCGGCCAACCAGCGTTGGAAAAAACGTGCTTTTTTCTAAACCTGCTTCTAATTTTTCATAATTAGTTATTCATTGTTTTTTTTGCAATTGATTGCACATCAGTGAAGGAGTACAAGCCTGCTAGACTGATTCTCTGACCTTACAATTCCCAAAAGTCTATAAATTGCTCCGTTTCATCTTAAGTGGGGTCTGGGAACCAGACTACAAGAACATGAATGGTTTTCTTGGTTTTTCCAACATCTACAAGTCCAAAACGTGAAACAAGTCATTTTAACAATATTTGCTAACACATACTAATCCTCCAAATCCATTTATTTCTGAAAATTGCAGCAAAAGCAAATGTTGTACATTCCCTTTAAGTTAATGAAAAAAACCCAGACAATGGAACAATGCAGAAATATAACCGACTCAAACTGTACATGTAGGTGTCATGCAGATGTTAATAACAAAGCATAATATGAACAAATTGCATAATATATACATGTACACATTACAAAAATCTATAAAATTAGTCATGTTTATAGGCACTGTATATTCTACACAATTCATTTGCCCTTTGTTTCGTGTTATTGCTATTTTGAATTTCAGCCTAAACACAAAATAGTTTGATTTTTGATATTTTTCTAGCAAAACAGTTCCACACTTATGAATGAGATAACGACCCTAAATGACCCACAGACAATCCATCGTATCTACTTTCACTGTACAAATGTAATTGAAAAATATATCTATTTCAAATGTAATTTGTGAGAAAGACGGCAGTGCAAAATACACCAATAAAAATTTCATCCAAAAAAAAATACATAACTGAAACCATGGGCGTCGCCAGGATTTTTCCCCAAAATGTTTTCATTATATTCTCAATGTATAATTTTTCCGAGCGTGAGCAGGGGAGCATTTGCCCTAACAAACCCCCCCCCCCATTAAATAAACGGCAACATGGCTTTGCACCTCTTTTTCCTTTTTTTCCCTCTTTTTTGGTTTTTTCCGTTTTCGCGTCGTGACGTCCAGGACTGAAACTTTGACTTCCAAATTTCTAAGATCTAACTCCAGACTTGATGTTCCTTAAAATGAAAAAAAAATTACAAATGTAGTATGTATTATAACAAAGAGTTTAAACTTTAAGGCACAGGTATGCAAAATACCATACATGTGTGTATGCATAATCAATTTTGTAGATTAAATATTTACAAATGCTCCATCAATAAGTTGTATTCAACGGACACAAGAATATCTTTTTTATAATACATTGTACCCAGTGAGGATATGAATGACCTGCACAACATACATGTGCCGTCTCTTCAGTTGCCCCATATTATGGTTTTTCTAAAAAACTTCCTTTTATGTTGCATTTAACAACCAATGTTGGTATAATGACCACATGTATACATACGTACACCTTGCCCAATCTGCATGTACACGTACAAAGTATGCCTATAAAAGGTTCAACTGAATGTATTACATTTTGCAATATTTCCATTATGATGAAAAACCCAAAATCTATAGTCCATTATGATTATTATCAGCTAAAGCAAAGCCAACCACAATACATTAAAAAAAATTCATACACTGAGAGGCTGTGAAATACAAAATGTATGTCATTCACAAACTTCATCGTTTAACATCTACACATAAAATCTATCTTTGCAAGTAATTCAACCCACAAAACATAAACATTGATGTATGCAATCTACATGTACACGAATGTAGTGGACATTTGAGGATCCTTTCAGTGTGAGAATTGCTGGCTCACAGACGTGAAATTTGACAGAGAGCTCGTTCCTTGAGAGACGGTCGACTGGTTGTCGGATGTTGCAAGGTTCAACAAGTTACTGGTCAGAGTCATGGTACAGCAAGCCATCCGTAAGGCCGGTCCAGCTAGCTCCCCTACCACATCCCACTCATCCTTGCTGACCGTGTAGCAGTGAATGTCCTTCTCCCGTTGTCGGGCCAAGCCACTGTAGCCACCGATGACGTAAATCCTCTGGTTGTCCATGACGGCCACTCCGGCCATGCTGAGACCTGACAGCATTGGGGAGACAGACAACCACTGATCGTGGGCGGGGTTGTAGCGCTCGACACTCATCACATCCACTCTCTCGCCGCATGAGTTGAAGTGATTCCCACCCATGGCGTACATCTGGTCGTCGGCAGTGCAGGCCATGTGGAAACCGCGGGGTACGTTCATCGCACAGCGTGGCATCCACTCATCTCGCTGGGCGTCGTACTCAAACATGGCTTTGCTGAAGTTGTGGTTTGTGAAGCCACCAGAGATATACAACTTATCACCAACGACGCAACCAGCATGGGCATACATGGCTTCAGGAAGATGCTGAACATAGTCCCATGTGTTTTTGTTAGGATTGTAGGCCTCCATGGAGGCAAGGGAACCCTGCTCATTTTTGCCTCCCAAGGCATACAGCTTGCCAGCCAGTGACACCAGACTAAAGAAGGCCCTCCGCTGCTGCATTGGACACATCTGGAGCCAAGTGTTGAATCTGGGATCGTAGCGATGAACTGTACCGATACTGTCTTTGCCACTAGATGTAAGGGTGACTTGTCCGCCGACAACATACAGAAAGTCATTTAGGACTGCGACACAGTGGTCAACCCTTCTCAGCGGGATTGATGTCAGGTGCTTCAGCTGGCAGTGGGGCTCATCCAGGATCATGATGTTGTTACTGACGCACTTGTTGGACAGCTCTCCACCGACAAGCAGCATCACCTCATTAGTGGATCGCATCCTTGTCCTAGCATTCTGCATCAGGTGCTGCCGTTGGGGCACCAGGTGATAGTTCAGGGCTTCCAGCAACAGCTGGTGGCACTCTGCATTCTCAATCATGAAGCTGTGGGACTCAACCTGGTCCACCAGATCGCTGGACGAGATCAGCGGGAATCGGATGTGCTTCATCAGCTTGGGAGCAAACTTCATCCGGGATTTGTGCGAATGGTTGATCCACCTCGCGGCAGCATTGAAGAGCTGTATTTCAGATCCCGACACCATACGATCCTGACCGATAAAAAACGAGATCTGCTCTGGGGTAAGGGTCTGAAAGTCCTTGGTTTCTGAGAGACTGATGAATCTCTCCAAGATGAAATTCTGCACCGCTGACCGCAGCTGATCAAAATCATGCCTCTCTGCAAGATGGAGTAACTCGACACAGTTCTGCATGCAGATTGTTGTGACAAGGTACTGGATGCACAGATCAGTGACACGTTGAACACCCAGCTGTATTGCTGCTCGCAGCGTCTTGTGAACGTTTTCTGAAGTCAGCGTCAACTGGGAGGTGTACGCAAAGTGGATCAGCATTTCAAGTCCAAGTCTGGAGATGCTGCTGCTGATCTGAATGTCCTTGATGTTGTCGTTCTCGATGAACATCTTCTGGAAGAAGTCACTGCAGGCAGCGAGGATGATACGGTGGATAGAGAAATGATGCTCACCGCAGATCAGCGTCCCATCACACAGTACTCGCCTCGTCCGCAAGGCACTGAGTTGTTTCAGCATGTCACTGCTGTGCTCTACACAATCAAATACTCTTGCAGGTGGTGGAGCATTACCCAACTTACTGCTAGTAAATGAATTTCTATGTTGTAACACGTTGGGTGGCACTCCCGTTGAAACCTTCGAAGCCATGGTAGTCATTTTTGGAGTTGAGCTGAGATGCTTTATAATCCTTTCCAAAAAAATTAAAAACAAACAATGACCTGTTTAAAACCCTTTTACATGGACAAATTTCTGAAAAACATGACAGATTCAGATTACACATTTTAATAAGTTTGGTTATCAGGTCTTATAAACTTCTTTTAATTTGAAGATATCCTGATGTCGTCAGGTACACAAAACATACAAATATGATAAAAGTCAAACAATTTAGGAGTTGTTCATGTGTAATGTTTACACTCACAAAAAAATAATGGAGAAGGAAAGATTTAATTGAATTTTACTGCACGAGGGTTCAAAGAAATTGCTCATGTCTATCACTCATTTAAAAATAGCGTGGTGCATGCATGTTTCAGGAGAACAATGTAGTCAACAAATAACATGACAATTAATAGACAATTATAAAAGGCATTTCACAGCTAGTTATTTAATTTTGGCTATAGGTGAGGGCGGGCTGACGTCATCCGATGAAAACATCTATTCATTTGCACACCAGTTTTCATCACTCGCTAGTGTTACCATTCAGCATTCCAGACTCAAGAACCATTGTCTGAAAGTGGGAGCTTGATGTAAAAATTTCCTGTATGTCCGCATCCACTTATTGAAATATTACCTCAAAAAAAATAAAGTAAAAATCCTCTCTGAATCAAAATGATCATTTTTTTTTCCATCTTGAAAAAAAATACATTTAATTCAATACAGGTAGCCTGGCCTAGGGCTTACATGTACATCATCAAGCGTGTTTCCAAAAAAAATATAGTGGTTTACAGTACTACATGTACATGATGTAGGCCTACATACAAAATGTTCATGTGCCGGTAGGCCTATTTACGGTACTGTACAGATGCCTTTTCAAAAAACAATTCACTCAACAATCATGACAATATCACTTCTGTTACTAATATGACAGTCATTACATTAGCACAACTAATCGGTGCATCCATGCATCAACGGCACTTACGTATTACCCATTTACCAAACAGTGTGGTCTAAACTTTTTTAGCTGTGCTGTGCATGGAAGTAAAAAACACTGACATGACTGAAAAGACAAGGCATGTTTGTTAAATTTTACTCACTTTTTATCGTATTTGTCACCGCCCGTTTAGCTGGGTGTTTGTTGTACAACTGAAGCTGCCACATTCTCCACACTACATGTATCTCTTCGGTGCTGTCAAAAAAAGATCAAAGCTGAATGAGAATACAACGATCTTGTACTATTGTTGTACAGGACATATCGACAATCAATAACTTACATGCAAGGCGCGTCACTGGTTGTCCCTGAGAACGACGAAAATAGATAATTTTAACCTTTGACATTTGCACCTGCCTGGCTGCGTACGGTATCCATATCCTAGCTACATGTTAATTATCAGTTTGTGGAACAGTTACCAGACTAAGGTCGTGGATAAAAAAAGAAAGGGAAAATGGCCGGCGAAGTTTTGGTGGATGCGTTGCCGTATCACGACAAGGGTTATGACGAGCCTGGGGAAAAAGAATCGGTAAAATTTATTGGCTGTTTTTGAGTATTGAATACGAATTTGTTGCCACCACCATGTTTGTGAAAAAAACTCAAACACTAAGCCTAGTTTGTTTTGGTTGCAATTTTTTATGTCGATTGTGATGTGTGTTAGAAATGGAGTGTTCCGTGTATTTACGACACCTTGTTGTTTTCCAATGTATTATTCAATTTAGGTGTATTATACCATTATTTGGAGTTGTGATTGACTGATTATCTGTATATTGACCATGTAATTACACTGTTTTCGTTGATACTTTAATTGAATTCATTTTTTTTAACATGACTTATAAAGGAGATTTCAAATTTATTATTCATGAATAAATGTTCCTGCTGAAATCAGTGTGCATTTATCTTCTGTGTTGATCCCCAAGTGCTGAAATAGGTTGGCATTGACATCGAGGAACGTCTGAAATACTTGTCTCATTTCCAGAGACATGGGGGGGGGGGGAACAATTGATATGCGTTTAATACTGACTGATTCTTGAGTCTAGAGTGCTAAATGGTAACATTAATGTAGGTAGAGCAACCGATACAAACGCACTTGCTAAACAGATGTTTTCAGTACAACTAACGTAATGCCACGCCACCCTATAATGAAGAGGCTGTAGTTATAAAACTGTTTCTTGTATCTTGAACATACTGTTCTTCTTTGCGGTCAGCATTCTCTTACAATACTTTTCATTTTGCAGGCCTATGCCCTGGTGGAAGAAGAGACTCGTCGATATCGTCCCACCAAGAATTACCTGGAGCATCTGCCAGCCATCGACCACACACCCTTTGAAACTGAAGTCTTGAAGAATGAGTTTGAGCGCCTGGCCTCCCGCCTCCCCATGGACGTACTCAGCATGAAAAGGCATGAACAGCTCTGTACCATGTTTGCTGACCTATTGCATAAGTGGCATTGAGGATAAGCCTTGCCTATTCCATTCATCAGAACATGTGACCAAAATGTCGTTTTAAATTTGGCTACAGAATAAATGTTCACTTCAGTATATTATTGTACACACTAAAGCTGTAGCTACAAAATAGTCTATCAAATTTCATTCAAGATTGTGTACATGAGCCTGTAGCCCTGCTTTTGTTTCATCAGTCACAGACAATTAAAAAGTCAATCCTGTTCCCCTGCAATGCCTTTTACACAGGCAAGTCACCAACAGTCAGATCATATTTCTTGTAGGCACTGTGACAGTCAAATTCCATTAGCAGACAAAAGCACGTGACTGAGAGGCACAGCTGGCTTATCAATCTCCTACAGTCAACGCACATCAGGTTCCATAACAATCACAGCCAGTCAATCCTGCTTTATGAAGGCAGAGAGCACTCGACTGTTAAAAACAGTCACTTGATTTATTTGGACTTCTGGGTTGGTCTTGTTGAAATTGCCAGCCAGTGAGGGAGGGTATTAACTTAATGTTGACCTTATGTCTACATGTATGTTCATGTAGACGTAGTTATGTTTCCCATGCACAGGAAGTTTAAAGGGAGGGTTCTGTAGATGTGTTCAAAAAGACAATTTAAAAGTCAACCCTGTTCCCGTGCCATGCCTTTTACACAGGCTAGTCACCAACAGTCAGATCATAGTTCTAGTGACAGTCAAATTCCATTAACAGACAAAAGCAGGCAACTGGTAGGCACAGCTGGCTTATCAATCTCCTACTGTCAGATCACAGCTATATCAGGTTTCACAACAATCACAGGCAGTCAATCCTGCTTTATGAAGGCAGGGAGCACTCAACCGTTGAAAACAGTCACCTGATAGATTTTGACTGTTGGGCTGGCTGTGTTGAAATTGCCTGCCAGAGAGGGAGTTTAAGTACATTGGAGGATTTAATAGTAACACCTGTTACCAGAGAAATGTGAGTGTTAGTGAGCTGGAAAGGAGAAAATCCTGTTATTATATTTTAGAAATACAAACAAAAATGAATTCACTTCTAACAAGTGAGCTACAAATTACAAAAAGATTAATTTATACCTGTCTTTCCAACTGTTTTACAGATATGAGCTTCCTCCGCCACCAGCAGGCAGACAGAATGACGTCCTTGCCTGGAACGAGTCCGTGGAGAATTCTATGGCTCAGCTGGAACACCAAGCAGAAAGGTCTCTTAGCCCCAACTTCCCAAGAAGCTTTGCTTGAAACCTCCCCGAATCCTCTCAATATCCATTACTCTGCAGGGCCACAATGGCAAACTGTTTGTTCTTTAATTTTTAAGGGCAATCATGCCCCTTAACCCCTTAAGCACGGGTTATAATGGGGACATTCCTCCACACATAGAGCAAGTGGCCCGCATGACTGCACAGCCTTTGTGTGGTAGCGGGACTGCACAAAAGCAGCAGCTGTGGAACTACCCACTAGCCATGTGCCACGGCATACCACAGCTGGCAACTGCTTTACCTTCCTAAATTCTTTTAATCCTCCAAAACTTCTAGTGGATTTTGAAGAACCCATGAGGTTGAGGGTTAGTCTTAAACATAAAGCACTTGTTTCACTTATTGTGGTATTGCACTATTTTTGAAGTCTGTCTTTCCATAGAAGCTAATTTGAGTAATCACCAAGACAAAAAAGTTGTTAAGTCAAAACTTTAAATAACAAAATTGACAGTTTCAATTTTAGAATTTAGAATGTATGATGACAAATGTGTATCCCATTTTGTTCTTTTTCAGAATTGCCAACTTGGAGTTGCTGTCAAAGTTTGGAAGTCAAGCATGGAGGGTGTACAATGAGTAAGATTTATCCTGGAATGTGTAACGATAATTTGTCAACCTATTACAGATAGTAGTTTATAATCTGATAGAGAAGTCTTGATCGAAGTGGTTTTATAATCGAGGTCACAGCCGGACATTGACACAGCAACGAGGTCATGCACTTGTACCAAACATGGCGGCCACTCACTACGAGATGGTCATCTTTTTTGGCTGACTATCCGAAAGTCATTTGTGGTGGCGGGATTGCGTTAAAATCCAACCACCTTTTACATTTTGCTTCAATAACATTACAGTTGAATCTCGTTAGTACAAACTCTGTTATTACAAAATTCTGGTTATAACAAACACAAAGCCTTAGTCCCAACTGTGCATTTATGTGCACAATGAATGGGACTGATGTTCCTCTTAATACAAAATTCTGATACAACAAACAATTTGGCTAGGTCCGAACGAGTTTGTATTAACGAGACTCGACTGTACCTCTTACTAACAAAAGAAGAGCTACTCAGTGGAGGTAAAAAATATCCGCTTTCGTTTGTTCGTTCAATATGAATTGCGAGATCTGATGTTATGTAGATGGTGTGATCTGTCACCAAGGAAACTGTGCTGACCTTGGTCATTCTCACGTAACACTTACGATTGCGAATTGCTCTTTTCACACTTCCGCCATGGGCATGCACAGCCTCGATCTGGCAACTTTACACAATAGATATAGCCGGTTCAGTGATTCCCGTGTCGGGGTTCAGATCACTGAACCGGCTATTTTTGTTGTGTAAAGTTGCCAGATCGAGGCTCTTCATGCCCAATGGTGGAGCGTGAAAAGAGCGAATGACCTGCTGAGCTTCAACATAGTCCTACCACTTTGCATTTGCATATTATTCCACAGTTTACTGGTTCGAATGGTGGAGCATGCACAGAGCCAGCTGCAGCAAATCCGCAAGCAAATCCAAGAACTGAACTGGCAGCGTAAAACAAAACAGGTATGAAGAACAGGGGCAATATCATTGGCGGTACCATTTTGTTCAAACAACTTTGTTTTATTTTATTCCATTCGTCTTGTACTTGTTTGTCGCTCAAATACTGTCATTGGTTTATCCTGTTTGTAATTTTGTTTTGTTTTCCGGTTCTATTATTTAATCCTGAGTGTTTATGTTTTTTGTGTTTTCCCTTTTAATTTCACTTTGTAACTTCATGTTGTTTTGGTCGAATAAATGTTTCATTATGATATATACATGAGGATATTACTGCTGCATAAAATTTGATGCTTGCTGAATTTGTATTTATACAGAGATGCAAAAAACAGATATAGGTATTAAATGTGTTGAATTGTTTGTTTGTTTTTCCCCAGAAAAGTGCTGGTGACGCCTTGAAGAATCTCGAAGAAAGGTAATAGAGTCTCCCAAGTTTTAAACCCAATTTCGAGCAGAAAATGGTGCTTAGCAATATTTTCTGCTACACACAAATCAGCCAAGCTCCAGCTAGAAGCTATATACATGTACAGTCGAGTCTGGTTATAACAAACTCGTTCGGACCTAGCCAAATTGTTTGTTATATCAGAATTTTGTATTAAGAGGAACATCAGTCCCATTCATTGTGCATATAAATGCACAGTCGGGACCAAGGCCTTATGTTTGTTATAACCAGAATTTTGTATTAACAGAGTTTGTACTAACGAGAGTCGACTGTATATCACAGACGTTTCGGTTAGTAACTTGTTTATGTCTTTGTAATGAACATTTTGTGCTTGTCCCATTTTCATTTTCTATAAAATTGGCCCAAATTATTTCAAAGATTTGCTGATCTCAGCCGTTGATTTATGAGTTCAAATGTGCATCTGGGAGATGTGAACTCAGTATTGGGTTTTTGCCCTTAACCAACGTATTTTATTAACACTGTATACTCAGTGTTGTCCGAGGACTTGCGAGAAAAATTTCACAGGCTTACTCGGTTGGGACTTGTTGAGATTTTTTTTTCAAAGAAGACAATTAAAATGATTGAGTTGGATTCAGCCTCGCTGACTATAGTTCTTATACAAACAGCAGCACTCATTTCTTGTCATGTTATCGATGGGAGCCAATCACGAAGTGAAAGATGGTCACAGATATCTTGGACTGAAATTTAAAAAACAAAACGTTTACAGTAAATGTCTTATTGAAGACTGAACGTGCTCTTACAATTTTTCTACGAGATGAACCAGGCTTGTTGTCAAGAGTTATAAGAGCGAGACATTCAGAGCAAATGTCTTATCAAAATTAGATTTGCCTCAAGTGTTATAATACTGTTTCATTTTATTTGTGTTAGCTAGACCAGGCTTTCGGCCAAGAAAAAAACAAGATTGAGACATTGAGTCTGCCAACTTTATATATTTGTTCAATGCAGCTGGACTGGGCTGGTGGCCAAGAACTACGAGATTGAGAGAGCCTGCTTAGAACTTGAGCAAGAGGTTGACCGACTCAGACAAGAGCAGATGATCCGACATTCCAAGGAGGAATACAAGACGCAACAGATGCTTCAGCAGGGTCATGAGGAAGACAGAGGCAGGGAGGAGGGAGGAGACAGCGATGAGAGTGGAGACGATGAGGATGTAGGGGACAGGTAGCTCAAGGAGCACTTCGCATGTAATTCTCAACTTACCACTTCGAACAGAAGATAGTTCTGAGCCTCATTTTAAGGAGCTGGAAAGCAACCCAACCCAAGTGAAATGTGTCGGGTGTTTGGAGAACTTCTGTCTGGTTTTACAAGCCCTTAAATTTCGCACAATGGAACTCATACACGTACACCAGTGTTAGTCTTCTAGGAATATACATGTACAAGAAACTGTTTATAATGTGGTGTGTCAGTACTTTTTTCTAAACTGTAAAGACCGCAGGACATGTCTCTCACTTGAAATTGGCAGGTGTTTATGAGTTGAAAGACTGTACTACTTGAATTATGTAACTGGCCTTTACTGTGTTATCATGCCTTTAAGTAACATTAAGCAACGTGGCCACGTATCAAATTTGAAAATCCCAAGTTGACTGCAGAAAAGTTCCCAAGACTTCCTGAGATATCAGCATCATGTATCAAAATAGCAGCAACAGAGCCTAGTTTTATGTGAATGGAGCTCACGAAGTGTTTCAATTAGTATTTTGCACATGTGCATTCCATTCGTTTGTGTGTTTTCAATTACGCGAAAAATCCCAAGGCTCAGCGAAAGGTTTCCAAGCCCCGGCCTAAATTCCCAAAATCTTGGGAAAAATCACAAGGAGTGGCCACGCTGATAAGTCCGAAATCTTGTCGTGTAGGACACCTGAAATTGTGTAGAGTGTCCAGCTACACCAGTTTATGGTATACCAACATTCACATTTGGGTGAGGACAATGTAGATCCATGTGTAATTTCCATATTCTCCCTAAGAAATGACTCTTTAACCCTTGCACATTCAGTGATGTGTTGTTTAAATTTATGTTGGTCCTCAAATACTCAAATTCAGTGATTTTAACATTATGCACTCTAAGGTTGTCAATAAATTGATTTCTTGTTATAACTCAAGTCGTTGATTGTTTGCTTGTTCACGTGATGTACAGAAGAGGTATTTTATTTGTAAAGTATTGTCCAAGACAGCAGAGGTCGCACTCCACTCTTCCCTGAGCTAAATGAAGGGTGCAGGCCAGTAAACAGTGATCATAGTCAATGTAACACAAATTTTACACAATAGGTGGTGCCACTCGCTTTCCACGGGATGTTAAAATAAACTTTCAATGGCGAAAAAACACAGTTTTCGTGAAAAATAAAAGTGGAACGAGGCACTTCATTTTAAACCCGCAAAATCGTAACAGAAAGCACTGTGCTTCTCTTTATTTATTTATTTATTTATTTTATTTATTTATTTCAAAATCTTTATACAGGATACAAAATATCAGCTCAAAGGCTGTTTTACATTATGGTCCTGTTTTACATTTATGGTCCTGTGATAGGAAATAAATACATTTAAAAATAGTAAGAGAAAAAAAACCAGCAATTAAAATGATAATTGCCAAATTTCCGGAGGTGTCTTTGGAATGCTTTTAATGTACCAAAATTACTTAATGAGTAACAATGATGGGACGTCATCGTTCTTTTGTCATGAATACATATTATTTTCCCATTTTAACAAAATTCTGCGAATAGACGATGTCTAATTGATATAGATTGATTTTTGTCCATTTACGTATGGGCCTAAAAATTAACCCACAACATGAAAACAGCACGAAATTTGGACTTCAAACCGGTACATTTTTGTGCTCAACTTCGTTTTTAGTAAACCTTAAAGAGTACAATTTTCTAACAATGAAGATGTACAAAGGCCTTCGTTCAAGCCTTAAGAATTATCGGAGGGTGTGAAGTTGGTAAATACACTCAGTGCGCGCCGTTCGTGGGTGATGAATGGCCTTCGTGCAGGCTTCACTCTCGGACCATCCTGGCCCACGAACGGTGCGCTCCTCGTGATTTATCCGATCCTTTGCAAAACGTCCAGTGCATGGACGGTCACGGTAGCTAGCTCACGCCTGTCCATGCAGCAACCTAGGCATTGCCTGGCGAAAACATGTCTCAATAAGTGCAATTTTGATTTCAAAACAATTGTCTCAATACCCTGGTAGAGCAAGGTTTAATAGATAAGTTCTCTGAAGTCTGTTGCCAACGATTCAAGACAAAACAATTTTTTTTTCCTGACGATTTCAAAAAATTTCAGATTGCACAGGTCCTAATCTATCCGTCATTAATCCACTAGCTCTCCCATATAGCAGGCCAGCTCCTGGAACAGCAGTCGTATATACACGCGCAGGATCTTGATGAGGCCCCATAAGTCTTGGGTGCTGAAGATGGTATCTGAGAAGGTGAAGGGCAAGGTGGAGGGAAGGAAGCCCCGGCCGTACTCCACCATCCAGGTGCCTTCTGACCACTGGACCATAGTCACGTCTCCCCACACGTGCAGGATGGTATCGCCTGTGAACAAGAGAGGCAGACATTTTTGGGAGAGTGACACCCGTTAGCGTTCTATAATTGCGCAGAGCGACAAAGAGCCTGAAAGTACGCCATTTTGTTTTTGAGCTTCCGGACCCTTCCGTGACCCCTCTATGGGCATTTTACATGGGGTTGCCATTTCTCTTGCTATACTTTTTGACAGAACGATTTCTTATTGTATTCACCCCCAAGAAATTCACGTTGGACTTATATATTGGCATTCAGCATGAAAAATATGCTGAGATATCAGTTGGAAATGGAATAAAACGAATTTTGATTTACGACCTTCAACATTCGTTTTCATATTGCGTATTTGCTTCAAAACGAAAAATGATAACGACGCAAAAACTTACCGACCTACATCCGATGGATTTTATATGTAGTCGGGATTGCTCTATATCGACCGTCATCTTTGATTGGTTTGTAAATGTGAATTAGTCCTTCAAGTTTATTCCAAAAAGGTGTGTGTCCCAAATGGCATTTTAGTCTTCTATTTATGTTTCACGGTTTTTCCCCAATGTCTGCCACAAAATGGTTTCATACATTTTCATCTTTGTATGAGTGCTCCGAGTTCCACTATAGTCCACATGTATTTTAGATTTTCGAAACTGAGAGGTCAATTTTTGGTACGCCGGGCGGATATTTTTCTTTCACGTCTTGCGATTTTTCAGTTTCCATAAAAAGAGATGAACGTAAGAATTTTACAAAAAGGCCTTTTCCGAGGGTGGTTTTCTTAATGAATCAATGTACCAAAAATAGTTTTAAAAAACCCTGACTTTTAGTTGCTAATTTTCCTATTCGAGGGGTCCAGAAGCGCGCCACCAGGGGTTGAACTTTCAGGCTCTTTCATAAAGCACGGACTGAAATAATGTCACTGATCGAGTTATAAGCAAAAACTTGTTGGAGAACAGAACACTTGCAGAAGAGATAGACAAATTATCTCAAGCCAAACTTCTTGTCAAGTTGTCTCGTACATGTATCTCTTTTAACACATAAAAACACAACAGTTATTGGAAGTTTCGAGATGAGTTTTTAGGTCATATCAAAAGCTTGCCGTTTGTTATTACCTGGGTGGAAAACCTGGCTGACTGTCGTGCCTTCAGACCACTGTCTAAACGTCCCGGTCATAACCGTGTCTGATATATTGGCCCAATAGCGGCCTGGAATAAAAGTAAAAGTGAGACATTTTTAAGTATCTAAAACTGCATGGGAATATTTTGAACACTGGCATACGTTATATTTGGTACGTAATGTGTAGAGATGAAGCTTCAACTCTACCCTTTTTTGTATAGGAACCATCCTCAATCCTGCAAAATCCTCCAATTGCAACCATACACTAACTGGATTCAGCCTTACTCCTCAAAGATCATCCGTTATTTCTTGAATTTGTTCAGTGGAGGGGTGACCATTGCCTCAATCCTTCAAAATCCTCGATCAATCACTGTCAATGGGTTGAGGCAGTGGCGATGACATTCAGAAGCTGTACGGATGATATCGAGCATAATGCAGGGCTCAATGCATGGCTGGACATAAACAAGGCAGGTCACAGCCTACGAGCTCAATGCAATGAATCATCCCTTCAAAATCAATCTTTTTGCCATTCAGCCATAATCCTCCAAAATCCTTCAAAACTGCCTTGGGGATCAGGATTGAGGATTTATATGGTGCTTATCATTATAACGCTTTATACAAACGGTCTCAAAGTGCTTTACAACTATAAATATGTCCAACTCAAGCAAGACCCTGAGCGCAAGATGACGAATGAATGTGTTGAACGTACGTTGGTCAGTGACTTTAAGATGGGATGACTTGTGACTGAGTTGTGATTGACTTGTGAGGACATGACCATAATCTGAATGCGATGCCAACATTGTAACTCTTTAATGAATAGGTCAAGAATGATCAGTATGTGATGTGAGCGTCTCCATGCGATAAGGCAAAAATTGTGCGATGTCATGAGTTATTACAAATAGGGTTGGGGCAATTTGTTGCTTTGTCCCAGGCCAGACTATAGTATCCTCTATGTACCTAATTCACTGGGGAGTGTGTGGCCTAGTGGTTAGGGTTCGTGACTCATGATCAGAGGGTCCAGGGTTCGAATCCAGCTGCTGGCCATATGTTGTGTCCTTAAGCGAGCCACTTCACCCCCACTTGCCCCTCTCCACCCAGGAGTATAAATGGGTACCGGCATTAACTGGGGAGTAACCTGCGATGGACTAGCATCCCATCCAGGGGGAGTAGAATATTCTCAGTCGTTTCATGCTACTGAAACCGGAGATAAACGCCGGCCTGATGAGCCACATTGGCTCGCGACAGACTTTACTTATCTAATTCACTGACCTACTCACTGACTAACCGTGGGCTGGGCAGTGCTATTGTATAGGATTACCCCGTAACGCCAATGAATGAGCTAGCCTGGCCCATGCATTGTGTGCCCCAAATGAATGAAGAGATTCCATTGTAAAAAAAAAAGAAAAAAAAAAGCCATTCTGAATCCATTGATTTTATTTTTGATTTTTTTTCCCACATTGGGACCAGCTTTATTGGGTTTGCTTAGTCTTGTTTCGAGATTAAATTAACGCGTGGGGCTTGTTCGATGTGATTGTCTACGATAATGATAGGCCAAAAATATGATACATGTGTTAAATTGTTTGATGAGTCACAGACAGTCAAGAATTGTTTCCACTTCCTGTGTCATGCATTTGTACAGAGTCTTGGAAAAAAACAGTCGGATCACATTTGTGACACTGTGACTAGTCACCAGTGAAACATTCCATCAACAGATAAAAGAGGTAACTGGTAGGTACATATCAATCACCTCCAGTCAAAGCATGGCTATATTAATTTAAGGGAATCCGTAACTTTTAAAAACAGTCACTGGACTGATTTTGACGCTGTGATGGCGTAGCTGAATTCGCCAGCCCGAAAGCGAAGTGTAAAAGCGGGTCAAGCGGGAAGTTAGTATCAACAACAGGCCATATTACCCTCAGACCAACCTGAATGCCCAACAGTGTCCACTGCCGTGCCAAAGAAGATGATGTACTCCGTGATGGAGGCGTGGATCATACACATGGCGCCCTTCCAGCCTCCCGCGTTCACGAACATCCACTGGGACTTCTCTGGCGGGAGAATGTGGCCCGGGTATCTGTCCATCAGTTCGGCATGCACTTTCTCGAAAGCCTCCTGGTGTGGAAGCCCTGTGCATATGTAGAGAGAAATTTGAAGTGACCATTTGCACGATAAACTTCAACTTGAAAATATGTACCTGCTGAACTCTCAAACACATCTGTATCTGTATCATACAGTCGGCAAAGCATCCCAGGGTAAACATCACACCAAATTATTAGAGAGAATGCGATGAGAAGAAACTACAGTTTTAGATGTGGGAGGAAAAGCCCATAAGAGATTCTAGGGAAAACCCACGGAATCAGGCAGGCACTGAAAAACCCAATCCACCTATTGACCCAGGTGGCATTTGAACCCGGGTCACCGTCAGCGGTGGAAGACGAGGAAAGTACCGCAACGCCTACCTGACTCCAACTATCTTTGGAACAGACATGTATAAAATAATCTTCGTGGGCTCTTCAAGATCAATCGTCAGACTCACCCACGTATTTCTCGGAAATTCTCGCGAGAGTCTGGTCATCAAGGAGGTAGCTCTTTGTCTCCATCCAGTAGTGGATTGCGAGGATGCTCAGTCCCAGGACGACTAGGGAGGAGAAGCTGACTTTGGCGGCACTTTTATACTGCATGATTGACGATTGAATAGACGCTCGCTATAATATCCTGTTGTGAGCAGCAGAGACAGTTGGTTTCAACGTTCTTGGCACACTGGTCTCCGGCGAAGAATGGATTAGTCAAAGAAAAGAATCATGCAGTTGTAGACTATATGTGAAACCTGTAAAAAGCTTCAGTACATACATTATATTGTATTGGCGTTTAGTTCGATTTTCTTGCTAGTATGTTACACATGCTGGTACCAGCGGGTTTTGTGCGCGCCATATTGTGCGTGCACACAGCCACGGTGAAACAAACCCATGCCTTTCAGGACGTTGTGCAAAGCAATGCACACTATAGATGGGCCCCGGGTCGAAACACCGGAGAATAAAGTTTACCGAACTATAATACCCTTGACGGGTTGAAAGGTCGGCATGAAAATACACCGTTAGATCAATGAATGCTCTTGCCTAAAATAAGCTAGTGTGAATGAACCGTGGTGCTATACAAAGGAAACATCCGCAATTGAACGAGCAGTTAGCTTTTTGAAGGGACATTTCGCATGGATTGAACACGAATAATTTTGAACTAACTTCGAGAAGGCAAACGCTAACCAGTGACCTTAACCCGTCCGTTACCCTATAACTTTAACCCTAACCCGGGCATTGCCCTAACCTTATACATCTAACCCTTATCCTAACCATTTACCATGACTCTATCAATATTAAACCGTCGATATATTGTAGTGTACCTTAGTGCTAGTGATTGGGTTAGGCAGGCAAGCTATCGATGGATCATATATATATGCATGTACGCTAGGTTTTATGTCTTGAACTTAGATTAAATGAAATCGGTTAAGGTTAGGAATATAGTAGGCCTAATGCTTAGATATTGACGCATTAATTGTTTATCATTGATTTTAACCGCATTATGGAAATAGCTGCAGATAATCAGTCAAGGTAATAAAGTTCTGTGGCGTGCAGCCCGGTACTTAACTTACCTTAATCAAAACTCAAGAAAAAAAGCGGAACTCTTCAACAGATAGTATTCTTCCGAAAGAAATGAAAGCCGATCGCCTGTCTGGAAAGAAATCTCATTGCTGTATATTTACAACGTGAAGAGGAAATAATTTATCCTTAAGTGAAGTATTTTGCAGGTATGCCATTCGATTCGACTCGTTCAAACACGACTCAGTGCACAATATCAATGCCGAATCTCATCGATGCCTTGATACTCGGGGTCGAAGTGCATAGCAAACTAAATAAAGAAATTACTCGTTCATAAATAGTCCTACTATCTCATGTATCAATCGAAGTTCACAAAGTGACCCTCTTGTACAAACTCCTTTGAACTACGGCCGTTTACTGCTTGATTACTTGTGAAGGGGCGCGGTCACTCGTTAAGGAGAACTAAACAGTATAAGTCCGAAGTCTTGTCATGACACCTGATACTTTGTACAGAGTGTCCAGCTACGCCTGCCTATGGTCTACAAACATTCACACTTGGGGAGGATAATGTAGATCCATTATATATTTTAATATTCTCCCTAAGAAATTAGTATTTAACCGTTGCGCATTCAGCAACATGCTGTTTAAATATATAGGGCCTATGGGTCCATATTACGGACATCAATTCAATGATTTTAACGTTATGCATCTGAGATTGTCAATAAATTGATTTCGTGTAAAAATTGAAGTCGTTGATTGTTCGCTTGTTCGCGTGATGCACAGAAGAGTCTTTATTTGAAAAGTATTGTCCAAGACAACAGAGGTCGCACTTCAGTCTTCCCTGAGCTTTATGAAGGGTGCAGGCAAGTAAACAGACCAAAAATTGCCCACGCGAACAAAATCATGATTTATATGCCCTCAATATTTTTTTTATGATCAAAACTGCAACATTTTATTTATGCAAACTTTTTCCTGAAACTAGGCCCTAAATTTGCTCCTTACAATGGAGCATATAGGCATCTTTTTTCAAAATGGCGATGGGCTTCATGGAATTTTGTCCCAAAAGTGACTTTTGGGACAAAAATCCATCCAAAGACAATCACACCTGACTTTAAGTCATCTGAGTCGTGACGTTAAAATAAACAGCTGGTCAAGAAAGACACGGTTTTCGCGAAAAAAATAAACAACAAACGTGAAAACAATTTGTTTAATGCTGAACCTGCAAATCGTGGTAACGGAAAGCACTGTGCTTCTCTCCGTTTGCCCAATTTTCAGGGGGGGGGGGTGGTTAGCTCCTCTTGTTAGGTACGTGTACTAGGCTACTGTGGCAGCTCGACAACTTCCGTTCCTTAAATGCTTTAAACTAATTGACTAAATAAATAACAGTGATGTGACGTTATTCTTATTTTCTCACGAATAAATTTAATTTTCGCCTCTTTTACAAATTATGCAAATAGACGATGTATTGTGTAGGCCCTATATTTTGCTCAGGATTGATTTTTTTCCATTTACGCATGGGCCTTAAAATTAAACAACATGAAAATGACGCGACATTTTAACATCAAACAGGCACATATTCAAAACCCAGTAGAGCAAGGTTTAATAGACAAGTTCCCTGAAGTCCGTGGCCGAGGATTTAAGACAAAATTTTTTTCTCCCTGACGATTTAAAAAAAAAAATCAGATTGCACAAGTCTTAATATTAATCTACCAGCTCTCCTATATAGCAGGCCAGCTCCTGGAACAGCAGTCGTATATACACGCGCATGATCTTGACGATGCTCCATATGTCTTGGGTGCTGAAGATGGTATCTGAGAAGGTGAAGGGCAAGGTGGTGGGAAGGAAGCCCCGGCCGTACTCCACCATCCAGGTGCCTTCTGACCAATGGACTATAGTCACATCGCCCCACACGTGCATGATGGTATCGCCTGTGAACAAGAGAGGCAGACATTTTTGGGAGAGTGACGTCCGTTTGAGATCAGCGTTCTATAATCGCGCCGAACGACAAATGAACCTCATGCGTTAAGGCGGAGTTAGAGGGCAATGCTTTTGTATATCGTGGACATGCTTGAGTGCACGTTTTGTATATTCTTTGTTAATAAATTAAAAATAAAGAATAGCCTCTGAGACATCCGCAACTCCACTGTAAATTGTATGCCTGCCCGCGCCCCAGCCAATCGGAGCCGCGTGAAGTTGTGGCGTCATTTCGAGCAGAGATGTTGATTGTTCAATAGCTGCCATGCTTTTGTCATGCCGAAGACACGATGGAAGGCGCCTGCTGACAAGGGCGGATCCAGAACACAATTTTGGGGGTGGCCCAAAACAATTTTGGTTCCTCCAAAAAGTGGGTCAAAAAAATTACGGCGTGGGGTTCGGGGCCTGCTTAAGGGCCCCGAAATTTTTTTGGATTCTAGATGCTCTGTGGTGCGATCTGAGGCAATTTCTAACCACTTTAACCAATGTTTTTTTGAGGAGAAGATGGTGGTGTACTCATTGCCTGCCTTTATTGCGATGTCACATAAAAATTTTTTTAAAAAAATGGTTTCGTTTTTTTTGGGGGGGGGGGCATGGCCCCCTTTGGCCCCCCCCCCCTGGATCCGCCCTTGCCTGCTGAGTGGTCAGAATCTGGAGGTCACGACGCAGTGTTGCATAATCTGTACGCACTAGCAAACTTTATGTATGCCTGCTAATAATTTTCCAATGATTGGACTGCAGATTTGTTTTGAACGACTGCATCAGTCGCTGTTTCGCTTGAAGTTGCTCAATACTAGTGTTCAAACGTCGAACATCATTCTAATCTTATGAATAAGTTAGTTCGACAGTGAGATGCTGAAAGCGGCTGTGCTGGCTCTGTAATCGTTTTGGGTTCACAGAAGGAACGGACATATGGAATTGTATAAGGGACAAGACAATGATTGAGACACAGGCGCGGTTCTAGGGGGGGCTAGGGGGTGCTTTAGCCCCCCCCCCCCAAAAATTTTTTGTCTAGCCCCCCCAAAATAAATTCCGAAAAAAAAATTGCATTAGCAAAAAGAAGGATTGTGACATGTGATGTACACGGTCTCCCCCTAAAGAAATAGTCGTGAAAAGGGTGCATTTGTAGTTAATATAGTGTGAATGGTTGTAGGATTTTATTGGCGCTCCCCAATGAAAATATGGCATGAGCCCCCCCCCCCCCCCCCCCCTATTGATTTTCGGAGGCGTAAGTGTCTGGAGAAAATAACCGGTCTACATTTCAGCACCCCTCCCTGAAAAAATTTCTGGATCCACCCTGCTAGCCCCCCCCCCCCCCCCAAAAAAAATATTGGTTCTAGAACCGCGCCTGTTGAGACAAGTTCTTCATTTCGTAATAAAGATCATTTAATGTTACAACCCCAAGGGCGGACCCAGAACACAATTTTTTGGGGCCTAGACGCTAGGGCCCCGAAATTTGTTTTGATTCTAAATGCTCTGTGATGCCATCTGAGGCAATTTCTGACCACTTTCACCAATTTTTTTGGAGAAAAAGATGGTGGTGTACGCAGTGCCTGCCTTTAATTATAGCGATGTCGCAACAACAAAAAAGACAAAAAGGAGGGTTTTTTTTGGGGGGAGGGCATGCCCCCCCCCCTTGCCCATGGCCCTAGATCCGCCCTTGTTAACAACCCTACCAGATCATTTTTTGTTATTTTTGAAACCCACAATCTCAGTTACGATTCGAAAATACTTGTACAGACCAAATAACACAGACTTGATAAGCAAGCAAAGTTGGATAGCAGAACAGTTGCAGAACAGAAATGTTTCGATGGACAACATAATCTCCACCCAAAGAAATCTTGTCAACTTTGTCTTGTATATACATGTATCTCTTTCAACCAAAAAAAAACATGAACAGGGCTGTTTTAGGCTTTCATGTTTTCATGTTAGATCAAAAGCTTGTCGTTTCTAATTACCTGGGCGGAAGACCTGGCTGACTGTTGTGCCTTCAGACCACTGTCTAAACGTCCCGGTCATGACCGTGTCTGATATATTGGCCCAGTGGCGGCCTGAGTTGGAAAAGAAACATCAGATACATTTCTAATAGAACCGCATAGGGATGATGCTGAACAACAAACAGAGTGACATTATTTGATATAATGTGCAGAGATTATAGTGGAGCTGCTAAGCGAAAAATTGTGCACTTTGTGGTAAAAGCATGAAATTCGGCATGTGGGGTCAAAATGGGCTAAAAATCATTTTAAGATCGGGACCCATCCTGGATCTTGCCCATTTTGGGGGCGGAGCTTGATTTTTCAAAAAAAGGGGTGCAAACAATACAAACTCATGAAAACTGTATTTAACATCAAATTTCCTTGGTTTTTTACGCTTTGAAATAAACTTAAACATGAAATAAGACATTCTAGCATTCTAACACCTGTTAATTTTCCACCCATTTTGTGGGCGTGGTCTAAATGGTAAAAGAGGCGGTATATATTAGCAGTTTGGTTCTAATATGGAAAACATCATTCAGTTTGGTGGTAAAATTCTGAAAATTGGCATGTCGAATTGAAATGGGCAAACATAATTTTTAGAGGTGAACGCATCTTGGATCTTGCCCATTTGGGGGGCGGAGCTTGATTTTTCAAAAAGGGGAGTGCAAAAAAAGAAAACTCAGAAAACTGTATTTTACATTCACTTTGTTTCTCATGCTTTGAAACAAAGTGGATGTAAATTATAACAGTAACGTGTTATTTTCACCCTTTTGCGGGCGTGGCCTTATATGTAAAGAGGCGGTACATTGGAGCAGCTTGATTCAAACGAGGGAAAATCATCATTTTTGCTGGTAAAAACACAACTTTTCCATCGGTTAACTATGTTTACCATACACTATAAAGATAAGTTTAAACTGTTGCAAGACTAATTGTTGCCCTTTAGGGGTGGAGCTACATTTTAAAGTAGGCGGCTATAAAAAAAATCATATCTAAATTGTTATGATTGTCTACAAGTAACTTACACAGGGTGAGTCAAAAAAAAGGAAACCCAAATGGCAGGACAATTTTTTTTTAATGAAGTTCTGCATGTAGCACTATCAAAATCATATGAACTTCAAATTTGGTTTGTGTATTTTTCTTGGTAATCCTAAGAAGCCTATTGCATTTGGGGCCGAAAGGTCAAGGGTCAAGGTCACAGTGGCTGAAACAATAGAAATTTTGTCAGCGCGATAACTTGAGAAATACTTTACATATAAACTTCAAATTTGGTTTGTGGATTGTCCTTGGCAATCCTAAGAAGCCTACTGCATTTTGGGCTAAAAGGTCAAGGGTCAAGGTCACAGTGGCTGAAACAATAGACATTTTGTCAGCGTGATAACTTGAGATATACTTTACATATGAACTTCAAATTTGGTTTGTAGATTGTCCTTGCAATCCAAAGAAGCCTATTGCATTTGGGGCCAAAAGGTCAAGGGTCAAGGTCACAGTTGCTAAAACAAAAGAAATTTTGTCAGCGCGATAACTTGAGAAATACTTTGTATTTATTCTGAGATCATAGGGATTAGGGATTAATTCATATAAAACCTACACGAACGTGTTTGCTTAATTTTCATTCATACAGATGCTAGTAAATGCTTCAAAATTGGAAGTAAAAGCAAATGCCACGTTTTATTCATACGAACATGGTATCATTTGTACTTTATGAACTTTGTTAATATTAATTTTTCGCGATTAACATAATAAATGCTGTAGCTTTTGCGCAGAATTATTTGCTTTAAAATTTCAAGGTTGCCCCAACCCAGCCTTGTGAATGACAAGTGCATATTTGAAATCTGAAGCATTTACTCCTTTATATTCATACGAAACGTACAGATGGGAGTAATGCAAATGCCAGTTTTTATTCATACGAACTACCGTATGGTATTATTTGTACTTTTTCGCGATTAACATTAATAAATGCAGTACTTTTTGCGCAGAATTATGTGCTTTTATATTTTCAAGGTAGCCCCAACCCAACCTTGAAATATGACTAGTAAATATTTAAAATTTGTAGCATTTACTCCTTTTTATTCATAAGAAACGAAGTAAACGCTTATAGTGTACACTCTAAAAATTAATTTGTCATTTTGACTAAAAAAAATTGTCCAGTGATATGTCTCGTACGACTTACCTAAATTAGTCACAGAGTATTGATGACTAATAACTATAGATCAGTCAAGAGTCAGACTCAGACTAAAAAATATAGTCATATGACAAGAATAGAAACCTGCTTGATACGACTAATCTGTAGTCAAGCGACTTGCGCGATTTGTAACTGAATTTCTGACTAATCACACTTTAGTCCAGACAATATCCACTGAATTAGCACTTTTTTGTGTCCGTTCTAGTGTCCTTAATGATACACCATAATGTGTACATCTCCGGGTCACAATGGGGTCACAGCTGACTTGTATCTCACTCGTTGTGCAGACCAACCTGAATGCCCAACAGTGTCCACTGCTGTGCCAAAGAAGATGATGTACTCCGTGATGGAGGCGTGGATCATACACATGGCGGCCTGCCAGCCTCCCGAGGTCACGAACAGCCACTCGGACTCCTCTGGCGGGAGAATGTGGCCCGGGTATCTGTCCATCAGTTCGGCATGCACTTTCTCGAAAGCCTCCTGATGTGGAAGCCCTATGCATACGTAGAGAGAAATTTGAAGTGGCCCTTTACACGATAAGCTAAACTTGAAAAAGAGGTACCTGAACTCTCAAACATGCACGTCTGTATCTGTACCATACAGACGGCAAAGTATCTCAGGGGAAACATCACACCAACTTATTAGAGAGAATTATACAATGAGAAGAAACTTCAGTTTTAGAGGTGCGAGGAAAAGCCCAGAGGAATATTCTGAGGAAAACCCACGGAATCAGGACTGAAAACCCAATTCACAAATTGACACAGGCGGGATTCGAACCCGGGTCACAGCGGTGGAAGGCGAGGAAGGCTACGCCAACCTGACTCCAACTATCTTTGGAACAGACATGTATAAAATAGTCTTCGTGGGCTCTTCAAGCTCAATCGTCAGACTCACCCACGTATTTCTCAGAAATTCTCGCGAGAGTCTGGTCATCAAGGAGGTAGCTCTTTGTCTCCATCCAGTAGTGGATTGCGAGGATGCTCAGTCCCAGGACGACTAGGGAGGAGAAGCTGACTTTGGCGGCAGATTTATACTGCATGATTGACGATTGACACACGCTCGTTATAACTGAAGTGCAGAGACAGTTCTGGCTTCAATGGACCGATCTGCTTTGTAAATTGGCACAGAATTGGAGAGACTAAGGAGAGAATTATGTAGTTGTAGACTATATATCTATAGGTACTGTGAAATCTGTAAAAACCTCAGAACATACATGATGAATTGGCGCTATAGTTCGATGTTCTAGCTGTAGTACACGTACGCTGGTACCTGCGGGTTTTGTGCTCGCCAGAGTGCGTGTATGGCCTTGGTGAAATCCATGCCTTTCACGCGACGCACGCCGCCCGCTAGTGCCAACCAAGTTAACACATCGAAACATCAGGCGCGGTTCTACGGGGGGGGGGGGGGGGGGGGGGGGGGACGGGGGGGGGGGGGGGGGGGGGGGGGGGGGGGCTGGGGGGCTGTAGCCCCCCAAAAAATTTGTCTAGCCCCCCAAAAATAAATTCCGTAAAAAAAAAATTGCATTAGCAAAAAGAAGGATTGCATGTGATGTACATGTGAACGGTCTCCCCCTAAAGAAGAAATAGCCGTGACAAGGGTGCATTAGTTAATATAGTGCAAGGGCGGATCCAGGAGGGGGGGGGGCAAAGGGGGCCATGCCCCCCCCAAAAAAACGGAACCAATTATCATTTTTTTTATGTGACATCGCAATTAAGCAGGCAATGAGTACACCACCATCTTTTCCTCAAAAACAATTGGTTAAAGTGGTCAGAAATTGCCTCAGATCGCACCACAGAGCATCTAGAATCCAAAAATTGTTCGGGGCCCTTCAGCGGGCCCCGAACCCCACGCCGTATTTTTTTGGACCCACTTTTTGGGGGGACCAAATTTTTTTTTGGCCCCCCACAAATTGTGTTCTGGATCCGCCCTTGCTATAGTGTGAATGATTTTAGGATTTTATTGGCGTTTCCCATTGAAAATATGGCATGAGCCCCCCTCCCCCCCCACCACCACCACCTATTGATTTTCGGAGGCCTAAGTGTCTGGAAAAAATAACCGGTCAACATTTCAGCACGCTTCCCTGAACAAAAATTCTGGATTCACCGTGCTAGCCCCCCCAAAATATTGGCTCTAGAACCGCGCCTGCGAAACATCATATTCAGTGACTTTACCGAACATACTGAACTCCATTGACGGGTTTAAAGGTCGGCCTAAAATACCCCCCCCCCCCCCTCCACACGCTTTTTGATTTCTATTTGCCGCAGGCAAGTACCAATATCTAACTTTAAGTACGGATTAGCGAGTGCCTTTTTTCCCCAATTGCTATTGATAACCATAACTCTTTCAATTTAATCGTATACATCTAGGCCCATTGACCCTTTCCTATCAATATGATAACCATGACTATCAATATTGTTGTAGCCCGTACCTGCACCTTAGTGCTATGGATCGGGTAGTAGGTTAGCCGTCGATGGATCTGCATGTACATGTACAATGTACATGTATGGGGTTTATGTCTCGAACTTAGTTGAAGTGAATCCGGTTATAATAAGGTTAGGACTAGTGTTAAAGTAATATGTTTATTGAAGCATTAATTATAGATCTGTACCTATCCGCATTCTGAAAATGGCTGCAGATAATCAAAGTAATGAAATTCTCATTGTGGCGTCCAGCCTGGGACTATTATAGGATATACTTACCCTCAATAAAACTCCAGAAAATAAATGGAACTCTTCCACAGAACGTTCTTCCAAGAAAATTGAAAACCGATCACCTGTCTGCAAAAAAATCGTTCCTGTATTTTTTTCAAGAGGAAATCATTTAGCCCAAGTGAAGTATTTTGCGGGTAACTCGTTCAATCACGACTCAGTGCACAATATCAATGCTGAATATCATTGATGCCTTGATACTCAGGGGTCGAAGTGCACAGTAAGCTAAATTAAGAAATTACTCGTTCATAAATAGTCCTACTATCTCATGTATCGATTGAAGTTCACAAACTGACCCTCTGAACAAACTCCTTGAACTACGGCCGTTTACTGCTTGATTACTTGTGAAGGGGCGCGGTCACTCGTACTAAAAGGAGGAGGGGCATAAAATGTCAGGCTTCTACGATGGACCGATGTCGCCAACCGCTACTCTTGCATGATGATGCTGAGAGCCTTTAGAGGGGAAGGGGCTATAGTCGCTTGTAGCGTGAAGGTTGACCTCTCAATGAACTCGCCCCACCAATTAGCAAATATTTCAGGTATGGTCGACACAATATAATGAGGGCGCTGTTTAATTTGGGTAAAGTCTTTAGTATACCTCGAACGGGCTAATTGCATTAATTTCTTCAACAGCGTGACCCGATTTTGAGTTTAAGTTAGGATTGACTGTTGAAGGACTTGAAATATGTTTATGTGATTCTTTCTTTTTCAAATTAAAAAGAAATTAAAGTAGAAATTGCCAGTGTGATGTGTTATCAATACTTCACAAATCCATAAGCCGGTGTTACTTCTAGAGCGTTGGTGGTGGCATGAATGACAAGTTCCTCTCTAGCTCTCAACTTCACATTTAGGCAAATCATGCGCTTAAAAATGAAATTCAGAATATCACATCAATTAATGTAGCAAAGGATCTTAAAATAATCAGTTAACTCGACCGTGACGTTTCGAAAAATCCGCCTACAGGAGTTATATGCGCAAATTCCACATCCACTTGGTGCCTAAGCCTCCCTCCACAAATTTCCAGTGCCCCCAGGTGGCCCCCCTGCCCCATCAAACTTCCGAAATTTCGCGCTTGCCACGGAAACGTCTGTTTAAATTATTTTGTTAAGATGAACCCCCCCCCCTGAAGTGTCGTCCATGGCAGTTTGTGAGCCCCCACCCCCAACTGCATGTACCTCATTGTAGCCTCTCATACCAACAAAGGGAACATATTTTGCAGTGTCTCCTGGTGCGAGAGAGTCAAGACGCTTGTATTGGATACGGCCCTGACGTCGCTTGGTCACTTGGAGCCTGCCATCACAAATAATACAATTGCGTCAGCCTCACAATGGAGAGATTTCTTAAGTGCGATTTGCATAACAGCTGGCTTACAATGATCGGTTACATCACACGCTTAGCGATAAGTGGAAATGGCTTCCTGAATTACTTGGTGCTTCTGCGCAATATCATTCGAGCGCTGGTACAACATTCTGTCTGGGGGAAACGAAAACAAAGATGGCTGCCGTTGTCTGCTGACGATGTTGTAAGGAGTTTTCGTCAAACACAGGTAGGCCTGAGCTTGCAATATTGTCTAAAACATGAACTCGACTCACTCTTGATGAACTCATAAGCAAGATGAATGAAACAAGTCTGCTTTGTGTGTGTGCCTACGGGTTTGGTTTATATTTGGAAACAGTCATCTCATTTAAGGCGATGTCTTGCAGTTGGATTTCGATGTACATGTATATCCCTCTTTGAGGAAATTTATTGAGAAAGATACTTTACAGTACGTTTCGACAATATCGTCTCCTTTTTGGAAATCACCGCCCCATATCTATTGGCATGTATATTTTAAATCAATTTATAAAGAATGCAGTTTGTCCCTTTCCCGTAGCTGAATTTTTTTAAATAGAACAATGACAGTTATCCAGTTAGGTGAATGTGTTTTCTTCAATGAAACCACACGATTAGAAATTTGTGTGTTATTTCAGAAAGCATACAGACCCCAGTTTTGCATCTTTAAAACTAGATCATAGACATTGCTTCATTACTAATTTTTGGCCTGTGAGGCCGACCATCATAACGCAGAGTGCCATCGCGTTATGATTTTCGCAAACACTGCGTCACCAAGTGACGTTTCAAATAAAGCGCCAACTTTGTCACATTCCTGTCAAGTTTGTTTGGTTTCTTGAATGCAGGAGCTACATTAACGATAACCATGGGTACTGGAGGACTATCGACGACTTTCCCTGTGCATATTATTATGATATGGACTGTGTTGATATTAACGGCATTCAGCACCACCTCATCAGCGCTGGACTACGCCTCAAGCATCTCGGTGAGCGCCGACACCACGTCCGCTACGCTGACATGGACCGTGGCAAGCAACGCCTCAGCAGCCGATAGCTACATCGTGGCAGTCCTGCTAGACGGAGGCACGACCAGCGTCAACAACTACACCATCAGCGACGTGTCCACGGAGACGTACAGCCTGGCGGACCTAGTGTTCTCCACCTACTACACCGTGAACCTGTACACCGTGTCAAACACCGGCCAGACGGTCGGTGTCACCACCGTGTCGTTCTGGACCGAGTACGCCGTCTGGAACTCCAAGTTCATCGCCGTCCTGGGCGTCATCGGGTTCATGTTCCTCACCCTGCTGGTGATGATGGTTCTCAAGTCGGTGTTTCTGAAAGAAGAGAAGGCTCAAGACAAGAAACCGGTCCTTGAGGACGAGGAGAACGGAGGGATTAGGAAGGAAAATGGGGCGGGAACAAACGCCAAGGATATAGCCATATTCTGATGCGTGATGGACGACTCTTTAGGCAAACACGAAGCTGAAGAAACTGGTGACTGCAATAATATTTTTAAGTCTTCAAGTTTCGTAAACAAATAATAGATTTGTGGACCAATAGGTATGGGTAGCCTCACACCGGAAGTGGTTCAGTGCGCTGCACTGTGGGACATGTAATTTACGTCACACGAATTCCCTAAAGCCCAAATTGCCTAAGAATCCTAGTTTCCATATCGGCGTAAGAATCGCAAAGTGAAACGCAAAGACCCAAACTGCATGCAACGCAGACAAATGGAAACATTTCACCCGGAAGTGTCGCCAACATATTAGGCAGACGCAAACTATCTCAAAGACCATCGGCAAAGTTGAACCCGATTCATCTTTGCTGACGGTTCAACGTACTGTCTGCGCAAGCCTAGCGTCGATGTGAAAACTAGCACTCTTTCACGCTATAAGGGGCCCAGCATTGGATTTAATTTGAGGGGCCGTATCATAAGTCCGACGCCTCATAGGTCCGACGCCTCATAAGTCCGAAATTTCGGAGTTATAAGGCGTCGGATTTATGAGGCATAACATTTATTTATTCCGCCTCATAGGTCCGACCCCTCATAAGTCCGACGCCTCATAAGTCCGACGTCGGAAAAACGAGGCGTTAATTATTTGTCGGACTTAAGAGGCGTCGCGGAGCTATGAGGCGTCGGACTTATGAACGGACCCCGGATTCAGTAGACTTTTTGATTCAGTGAAGTCAGTTTTATTGACGTGGGTTGCGGGGGCTTCGGGCGAATACAAATCTTTGATGATTCTGTGACCCTGTAATGTGCAAAATGAACCAATGGCCCAAGCGAAACTTACTTAAATTTAGTAAGCAACTTGGTGGAAAATTCTTATAAATATAAATGTAAAAAAAAACTAAATCATGGCGGACTTTTTTTTGCAGTGCATTTGAAGATCTAGATCTGAAGTATAATTAATTGTATTTTAATAAGCATAACAGTGTATTCGTCAAATGTGCATGTTGTCTTGTGCTGATATCGATAAGCACCGAACGCAGTAATATCTGAATGTCGATAAAGTTTGATTTATAAAGCGTTATTCATATTAAAAGTATTTTTAGCCATCGTCCAACAATAAAATCATTTTTCTTAAGATTGACTTCACTTTATATAATGAATAATATTATTTTCTAAAAGAGACCTTTTTTATCATGTCTCTTTGACAGCGCAGGGACTTGTAATTTTTTTTTACGGTATTACACTTGTATTATTATATGCACAATTTCGGAACTTGTAACAATGAAAAACAAAATAAAAGTTCCCTTGGTTTGCTGAAATAAATAAGAGTGGTGACAATATTTCTTAATTATGTACATATAACTTTTTTATTACTCTAAATTCGTTCCACTTTATCAAAATATAAACTTGTGTTTGGCGGCTACAATTATTTACAAAGCCTTTTGTTTTTACAATATAATTATTTTATATCCGTACTGTAACACTGATCTGTTAAAAGAGTTGTTCAGAAGGTCCCAAAGTCCGTTAGACGTCGGGATAATTCGGAAACATATATTGGCATTGGCAAATTAAAAAACATATATACATGTATATAAAGTGTACAAAAGTGTGCGTTTTGCCGGTCCATCAAAACTCAACAGCACATTTTCAAATAAAAACCAAATTGTATCGCATTGTCGTCACTTAAGTCCAGCAATTTCTGCACAATTTTAGGATGGAATTTTCGCGTCAGGGTGATATAAATCAAATTAGGTTTTGCCCTTCACCGACGTTTGAAAACTGTATACTCAGGGTGTTACCTCAGTAACAGATTGCTGCACAATGCGCTGCGATCTCGCACTAACTTCGAATATTTTATATTCAGTTATCCTTTCATTTGCATTCACATAAACATTAAAAGCAATAATCATATTGCCACTGACTGATTCAAATTACATTTTTGTACATGAAATTAAGGACAGCAACAAAAAGTTTGTAAGAGTACATTTGTATCCATAAAGAGACTAGTCATGAGGCAATTAAAAGTTCTCTTTGTTTTGTACAAATATATACAATTCAGTACTGTTAATTTTGTTTTTGTATTTGTTAATGGACAATATTAAGCTAGACATGCGTTCCCCGTTCTTTTTTCGAGATTCACCTCGAAAAATAACGATTCGTTTTTTCAATTTCTATTTTCGAAGGAGTATAAAAGTTATTCACTTTCGAATGAGATGTCGAAATCCACCAAATCCAATCCACCAGATATTGAATTATTGGCCACTATACAATAATTCGGCTCTCGCAGGACGGGTTCGGTTCTGCACAAAATGAAATTCCTTTTTCATAATGGTTGCAGACGCCCAAAATCGGAATAGTGTAGTTTTTCGTTTCAACAAAATATACATATTGAAAAAAATTCGTTAGGAGAAAATATCCTATGTACATGTACATGTATAATTTTGAAGAGCGTGGGGTATCATCTTTAAAATCCAAGACACGAAAGTGAGCAATAGGTAAAGCGTTTATAGCGAAGAGTTAATCACATTGCCAGAAATGGTTTTGTAATGTTGGTCATTATCTAAGAGCTATTTAATTTGATATAGGTCTATGATCATTTTGCTCAATGGAGTAATGCATGAAGTCACGTGTTTTGTGTTCCGAGTGCACTGCAGCATCCCATGCATGTTACGGTCAACACTTGGAGCTACCAAATCATTAATGCCGGACTCTAATGCCGGACGAGTCAAAGGCTATACCAAGAAGGATATTCCTGTTCAAACGCTGACGACTTTCAGTGGAAAAAGAGCTGCCCACATTGTATCGTGATTGTCGAAAGCAACGCGCAGCAATTGGCCTACTTTTTTGGGGCCTCGATGAGAAATGGTTATTTGTGGGTAAATTTCTACAGACAATGTCCATGTACTTTCTAATTAACTTTTGGATCCCATAACTATGTCATATAAAATAACAAAGATATCAGTAATACAAACACCTTTCATGTAAATCTGCACACACATTATATTTATGTGTCATTGAAAAAAGGTAAATCAAAGGTCCCAAACCGCCCTGTCTGTTACTCCCTGTACTGCCCTAAACCGTCATGCATGTTCCTCCCTGTACTGCCTCAATGAAATGTCACCGGCGATCTTAGATAGGGTGGTGGAGACGAGCGAAGATCAATGGTTGGTCTAGACTGCTGCATCAACAGGGGCCTCTCGTGGGATTGCATCCGGGATGGAGGCAGAGGAGTCGGGTCTAGGCTTGCCGGGTGCCTGCCGTTTCTTCCCCTTCTGTTTCGTCTTGGAGTTCCGCTGAAAGGTTTTCCATCCCTGGTCCAAGAGTTCCTCCTCTACGTGAGCCATGTGATCCTTGCGCTTGCTGCTCACCACAAAGTCCAAGATGCCGAAGACGATCAGGCAGAGTACCAGGAACACGCCACTCACGATGGCCAGATACGTGCTGGTACCAATGGGTGTTGTAAAAGTAACGCAGCCCGACTCAGCGACCCCGCCGGACTCAACAAGGGTCACCACGCATGCGTTGTAGTACCTCATGTCGTCCAAGTTGAAGAGGTAGCGTGATGTTGCGTTGTTCTTATCGATAATATCATTGTCCATCACTTTGGTGTCGGTTTTAACTTCCACGCTGAAACCTTTTATGGTCGTGTTGGCCGGGACGTCCAGGTTCCAATGCAAGAGGGCGCTATACGATTCGACTTGGCCCACGGTCACTTCAATGGTGCACTTCGACGTTTGAAAAACCAGCGCGGTGAGAAGTATCAAAAGTTCCCCTAAATGAAAGTAGGACGTCCTTATCAACGCCATGATGGTGGTCATTAACACTGAAATGAGAAGAAAAACAGTTCCATTCACATTTAATTAATTCGACTTTCAAATCCTAGCATGCATAAAAGGGTTGTAGGGCAAGAGTATGCAACGATAAACACAGGCCTTATTTACGGCAGAAAACAAAGAATTCAGAGTTCAATGTTTGGCAATACAGCCGTGTCCCCGCGGGAAAAAAAAACCCCTAATGTTTGTATCAAAATATCTCGTTACCCATCTCAGAAATGACTGCGGATTTAATTTATGAGTTTATTTCCAAAATGCGACATATCACGGGTGCAACATTTGCAAGTTTATGAAACTTTTAAGCATAAAAACAGTATAGCTGTTTTTAAACTTCATGTTTTGCCTTATTGTATTCTTAAATTCTGTTTATTAAGTATATAACAGTGGTCAGAATTGCTTGTGGGCAGCCAGGAGAGAGCGGGATTCTAAAAGGGAACAAAATGACGTATATTTTGAGAATTAATACACACGGTTATATAATCAAACACTTAAAAAGTACGCATTCTTGCCATTTTAACCCATCGATATGAAAGTAAGACATGCATCTGGAGAAACATGTTTGTTATAGTGCACAATTTCTGGGCGTTTTAACCCAATTATGTTTGACCAGGATATGAAGTCAACAAATATTTACTAGCCGGATGACGTGGTAAATAGACTTTTCCATTTTAGACCTGACAAGGTTGTATGAAGCTGTGAAGTTATTCAATCATGCACTTGACCTTGTTTGCAAAATCGCCACTGAATCGTTTATTTATTTATTTGAAATGGCCTCTCAAACTTTTGTTGCATCAAATACGTGGCGAGTCTTCATAGTCTAGCACAGAAGATGTGCTAAGCCAAAATGGCACTGTTATGCATATCGTATGCGCCCTCTGCTAAACAAATGATTGCCACGCATTTTAAATTTGCTGAGCGAGATTTTCCTCCTATTTACATTGACCCATCTACATCTTTGTTTAATGGCAACTTGGTCAGACATCCACCCATAAATGTACACGTCAACAAAATAGGGTACCTCTTGATGAACGCGTGCTCCCGTGCATATTGAAAAGGGGACTATAAAACACTATTTTTGTAGTGCTGGAAATTCCATTTGTGCAGCACAATACACATACGAAATACCGGGTGAGTAACAAAAAAAAAGCGAAACCTAAAACCAAAAAATTATATTTCATATTTAAAAAAATACGTAGCATCAAACATAATAATGACTGAAAAGCCAATTTCATAAGCTACTTTTAGATGAAAAAAAACCCCACTGAAATTGCTCAATCCGTTCAAAGAATAGTCCTATCACTATTTAAACGCAATGACCCTAAAACCCCTTTCAGTCTTTCGTTAAAAAAAACCAGTTTATTGTGCATTCTTACTATTTGGAACAACAAAGTACACAATATCTTTATTAACAACCCTGGTTTAATAGGCAATTATAATTTATAAAATCCACTTTTCTTGTAAAAGATGGGCCTTCAAACGGACTTTGTTGAATATTTTTTTCCACTTTTAAACTGAGGTTTTATCGATGGTGATGTTTGAAGACAACTGTGACGACGATTCTTGAAATCGCATTTGTGGACGAAAGCGGATTTAGGGTCATTGTGTGTAAATGGTGATATTCTTTGAACGGAATGAGCAATTTCAGTATTTTTTTCCATCTAAAAGTAGCTTATGAAATTGGCTTTCCAGTCATTATTATGTTTGGTGCTACATATTTTTATTTTAAATATGAAATATAATTTTTGGGGTTTGGGTTCCGCTTCTTTTGACTCACCGCCTGTAGGATTTTATTGTTTGGCATAATTCTAAAGCAAATCTATAGGTAAGGTGTAAGCTTTAATACAGGTAGTGTAGGCCTAAGTTTGCCCACGTCAGTACATTCAACCATGGTTCAACAGACATGGCAGACCTGTTAAACTGAAAGTACAAGGTCAGAGGCCGACGATTCGCCTTAGGCTCTTGAATAGCTTTTGTGTTTCGTTTACCGCTGTGATACTGCGTCAAAACGCTGTGTGGAGTTTAATTTGACATCCATCATGCACAACATCATTGAGTTTTTACACTTGTCCAATTATTTGGTTCCTGCATGAAGTTATCAACGGCTGCCATGCTATGTCAATTTGAAATACTACATTTACACAGGGATAGAACATCGTAACTTCGGCCCCTTCGGTTCTTCAAAAAAAAAATGAACTAATTTACTAACTGCGCGCGAAGAATGATTTAGGCTTAACAAAAATCAAACTCAAACAGAGTTTCAGAATAAGTGAAATTACGACCGACCGACTGACTGACTCTTGTGAAATAGACTTGACTAAGCCTATCACTGACTTACCGTGACTTGTGAATGAGACTGATTACCTATCTCACTGACTGTCACTTGTGAATTAGACTTGTTCTCACTGACTGTCAATTGAATATAGCATTGTGAACCCTGGGACCAGCTTTACAAAGCTCTACTAACTCTGCAAACTGCTCCCGTTGTTATTATATTAATTTTGTTCTTTCATATATGTCCCACATTACCACACATGGTGCCGTTTGTGTGTGCAGCTGAATCGAAACAACTTCCCGTTTCCTCATTGTGATAATTCCTGACGGTATTGCTGGAAGGGAACGGGAAATACCCAGCAAGAGATCATGTCGATTTGCAGTTTCGGTGATAATTAAAAGCAATGTCAGAACAGACCAATGTTCACCGTTCTCATTTTCATTCATAACAAATATTTATGAACCGAAACGAGAAATGTTTTTTTTTTCTTTCAACAAGTTCATTCTATATTATAACTGGGAACTTTATAGTACAAAAAACGAGGAAACGACAAAATAACACAAAGTTTGTACAGTGTTTTCAATTTGTAATGGCATTCATGAGAAGTAAAAAAGGAGGAAATCAGCAGATCCGAGGAAAAGTTGCATGCCTGAATATGATTACAGTTTGGTATCATAGCTTATAAATATATTTTCGTAGGTTATCATGATTATTGAAGTGATATCAGGTGATCATTTTATGACGCAAAGGTGAGATTTTACGACCTTAGGTAAGGTTTCCGAAACTCAAGGACCTGCAGACTGCCATAAACATAGTCCTATTTGAAAAAACAACATTGGTCCCTTTCTATGTGTATGTTTCACAATTATGTCCTTGATCTAAAAAGTGTTGGTCACACTTCAAAAAAAATATCCTTAGTTTCACCACCAATCGTTTCTGCCTTCCTGCCAAAAATTATAATAGTTGGCCTTTAACAACCCAGACTATTCCAACTCGAAAGAAGACTACACAGTGAACTGGTTTCCGGAGTCCGTCATTGTTTTTATCTGGGACGAGTTGAATGGTTTCATTTCCTGAATGGAGTTTGCCGGCTGTAGTTATACACCACAATTTAGAGGCAGAAATTAATCCATTGCATTTATACGTGTACTGCACTACATGTCAGTTTCATTTTCGCAAAAACAACCCCTACATTTGATAATACAACTAATAGTTTTGGAAGGGCTTTTTTGTGGTACCGATAACAAATACTTTATTTTAAATGAGTTTATCAATGTATTAAAGGTTGGCTTGAAGGATTGATTAAGCAATTGTCACATGACCATAAGAAGGGTCACGTGCTCAATTATCATGGAGGACACTTAAAGCATAGGAGTATAGTATATTATACTCAATGATAAAACCAACTACGTATCACTTTTACATTACCACACCTTGGCTTAATTACATGCCTCGATAAAGCGATTGTCACGTGACCATGAGAAGGGTCACTTGTTATGGAGGACACTGAAGGCATAAGGGTCAATTGTTATGGAGGACACTGAAGGCATAGGATTATAGTTATAATCCTGCATATTTGTTCTTTTTCCTCAATTATAAAACCAAGGTTGTTTTTTTTACATTGCCACGTTCAGCTTCATTACATATTTCGATCGGTCATGGCCAACTTGTTTCTATCATGGCTGTACACTGTATTGCTCATGGGATAATTGTTTTTTTGGAGTTCAATATGATTTATTTGCAAATGATTTACGTCTATATATTTTACTTTGCTATATTGTTAACAGTTCTGCATGGTATTTACTTGGTATTATTTACTAGTTTTTATAGAAGTTAAGCTATTTAAAAAGAAAAGGAAAAAAAAACATGACCTACAGGGATATATGTTTGAGTGTGTTGGACATGAGGTGTTTCATGACTACATGACGACTTTTTTGGTGCGTTATGCTTTAAAAAACAACACAATTGCCAATGGTAAGTCAGTTTCCGCTGATGAGCATTTATTTAGGAGCACGGGGAAATGGCTGCCAGATGTTACCGTAAACCGTAAACGGATTTAGCGACTATAGTGAGAAATAACTCCCCCACGTCACGACATTTTTAGTGAGAGACACAGACGCCCAGGTATTTGTTCCTTGCTCTAGGAACACAGTCGTCACTGTGACGTCAAAGTTACCAAAAGACATAGACACTCAATATATGACCATGGCGGTAGGAAACACCTCCATGATCAGACCATGTAGGCCTTAGGAAAGGCCTCCATACTTGGCAGACAATCTAATTCTACCGCCATGGACAAACACAGCTTGAGATGTTGACAAGACGACTGTAGACTTGTGTTGCAAAAAATGATGCAAATTGCACATACAATGGAATACATTTATACGAGTATACATTTATACGAGTAGTATGATAATGATTATTCATATCTTCCCAAATTCTCACCTTTGTGGTGGCTCCTCAGAAGTGCAAAATATCAGCAGGATAATATGCCGCCATTAGTACGAATCGATGTGGCCTGCGTGTACATGTATAGCATCCGTGTACGTGTTTCATCAGCACTCCGACATGAGACTAGGGAATGGAATGCTGATCTAAACATTTCCCGAACGAACAACCACACAGCCTGAGGTTGGGATACAACCGCAATGGGGGAAGCGCGTGCTCATTTCAGATCCACCCACACATGATAGCGTTTTCTTTTGGTCTGGGCCTCCGTCAAAATTGATCACACCCAAAACTGGAATTGTTGGTGCACCATGACCTACATGCGCAGTCCCTGACCTCAATTCATGCCGAGCCGAGCTAGCTGCGAATAAAGGAGTATAATTCCCGGTTGCATGATATTAATAAATACTGCTATACGTGTGTGACGTCAAGGTCAAGCTGTACTGTGGATGTGTGACGAACGTCTGGAGGTCACACATTATTTGGTTTATTTCAACGATATCATAACAGGAATTGTTGCTGTATTATGATATTCCGGTACTTTTTATCTTTAAGTTATTTTATGGTTTGTGAACCATTTGGCGAGCCTGGGTACAAAAGGATAATGTGTACTTTTTGTGCGTGCGAAACGGCGGAAAATTCTGACTTCAAGAAAGAGAGCGCCCTACAAAACAACAACAACAACAACAACAACAACAACAACAACAACAACAACAACAACAACAACAACAACAGCAGCAACAGCAGCAGCAGCAGCAGCAGCAGCAGCAGCAGCAGCAGCAGCAGCAGCAGCAGCAGCAGCAGCAGCAGCAGCAGCAGCAGCAGCAGCAGCAGCAGCAGCAGCAGCAGCAGCAGCAGCAGCAACAGCAGCAACAGCAGCAACAGCAGCAACAGCAGCAACAATGAACAGGCGTTAACACGAGAGTTCGCGGGAGTACATTATTTGCGCCGTGCCCCGGCCCCTCCCATATAAAGGACGCATATATACACGGTAGCCCAGTTTTTCTAATAGTAAAGTGGGAAACAGTGTACATGTATATGGTCGGTTTACCCCTAGAACTATGGGTAATACCCATAGAGTTGTTTTATACCCATAGTTCTATAGGGGGTATAGGCCTAGTCGGACTCCCTCATTATCGCGCGGCATCCCTCGCTGCATGATGGGAACTTAATTCTCTTTTTGCGTTACGTACTTCTTCAAAGTGGCGATTATCCAGTTCCCCAGGCAGGACTTTCTGCCAAGTTGTATAAAAAGGACGATTACATTTTTGTGTGTCTTTCGGGACTTTTAACGACTTTTGAATTTTGATAAGTAACGTTTTCCAAAACTTGCAAATTATCCCTCACCGTATTTGCTAAAAGATGCCGTTTTTATTTTAATATACATTTTTAATGGTGCTCTGTCCATGAAAGTTCCATTGTCTGGTTCCCATCATCCTGCTGGCATGTAATCTTTAGTCAACTTGAACGTTACAGGGAAAATATCAGACTTTATTCAGGGGATGTTTTGGTCAAACATTAACTATGAATAAAAAAGTTGAGATCATTATAAAAACCACTTCCCCATAGGGAGTCCAGTCCACCTCCGTTCGCACACTCGGAGAATATCTATTTTCACAGGCATCGTACACGGAATAAACCACACCACCGTCGGATTTGTTCATATCAATTTAAAAAAGAAGAGTTATTCTACACAAAATACAGGAAAATTCGGGAAGGTTAGAGGGCAATGAACGAGAAACGTGATATAGTACCGCGATAATAGGGCAATCCTAAAAATTAAAGAAAGAGGGCGCCCTGTCACAAGTATAGCTACATGTAGCTACCTGTGTGAAATTTCCGTGAAATGAATGATAAACATCAACACACGAGTGAGAGTGAAGGATCGGAGAACGAGGACCTAGGTAAGAGAACCTTAAATTTCGTACTTCTAAATGGTAATTGTGGTTTAGGAACCCGTTCCAACTTCCATACTAGCATGCCCAGAACGTTCTCAGGTTCTAGACATGCGAGAAGAAGGTTGGACCATGGTTGGAATTGTCTATTCCTCCCTCCATGATTAATGCATTAGGCTAGGCCTACAGCTGCACAGCTAGCTGTGCGCACAGGGAGCTGATGAGTAGGGAGCCGGGGTCTACTGCAGTGCACGCACTGGGCTAGCCCCTACAACTTTCAAGTGAACGTGGCGTTGTAAACAAGCCACGTGCCGGTGTAATTTTGAAATGTATACTCAATGCTTGTCCCCCATCCACATTATTATGATCTTATGATTTTCTCTACATATTGTTCTGTATTGTTATGTGGTAAGATTGATTGATTGATTGATTGGGAATGTGAATTTTATTTTGGATCCCCGACATACATGTAACCACCATCATGATCATGGTACCATGTATAATTTTGTCCTATAGGTTAATCACTTACTTGTTTGGCTTTCTGTGGATACGCGTGTGTTGGATCTGTCATTGCCAAGAAATATGAGGAAAAATACGGCACAACGAACGTGTTCAGAAAATCAACAACATGCAAGTTCCGCATGCGCAAAATGGTAGGAGCCCACCAGTTGGAACCCGTCTTACGTGGCTGTAAAACCTTGTTAAAATCTGCTAAATCTCTTCCAAATCACCCACTACTGCACGAAAACACAAACACTTAAAATCGCGCAGGTGTTGGAATATTACCTTGCTGTTCCATAATTGTGCAAGGGTTTGTTTCGGGGTTCTTTCAAGAAAATGAAGCTTTTTCAAGCCAAATGTGCTATATTTCTCTAATCTTTTTCTTTCATTCAGAAACACCAATCTACATTATTGAGTTATATTAGCCTAATTCTGCTGACAAAAATATTATGCTGTATTTCCGGCGATCATTTAGTGCAGGTCCCTGTTTGAAAATTAGAATCAAGAGTTTTTTATTTCTAGAAAATGACATTGTCAACCCTGTTTTGACACCTTTTTGGTAATTTTGAACGGTTTCTTGGGGTAGATATCACGATTTTCCTATGGGGTTTACGGGCAGGTTGGTGCCGTGCAGTGCGACTTCAATGCTGATGGTACACATGGTACATCGCGCGGTGATCGTCATCTTTATTTTCGTGTTGCGTTTTGTCGTTGTCTTCGTCATTTTTCCCCCAAAATTTCCCTCTAAAATTTGAAACCCTGCCCTTTATCTATGACATACCTGTTCTTAATGTCGCCAACTAGTTTGGTTGGTCAAATAATTTACTTTTACTAGGAAGTATCCTGAATCCTCCGAAATCCACCAATTTTGTTACGCAAAAAAATGCTGGTATCCTGAGTCCATCAGAATCCCCCAGGTGTAGAAACTGGAGATATATTCTGAATGCACCAAAGTCCACCAGCAAAAGTCTTGATGGATTCTGGCGGATTCAGGATACAGTGGCATAAAAAGAATACAGCAGGTTTTTCCATAGAGTCTTCAAAATCCATCACTTAAATTTGTGGTGGATTTTGATGGATTCAGGATACCATGTTCACATGACAATTGTGATGTGTGTTGTTGCATCAGGATCCATCAAAATACACCAACGCATGGTTCAACTGCTGGTGGATGTGATGTGGGTTGTTTTTCCTTTCAACTTGGGCTGTGGGTAACTATGTATACTGTGATGTTTGCATTGTCTGTAAGGGCTACATGTATTTCAATGAACCATTGTCTGACCCCAGTGTTGCTTTGTCTGGATGGGTTATGTACAGAATCCATTGTTTATATGCTGAGGCCTAATAAGCCGCAGTCACAAGCTCCCAACCGCCCATTACATTTTTGTACAGCATGTGACAGACCTGGCAGGGCTACAAGCAGTATTTACTTGACCACAAACATAGCCAAAGAGTTATTCTGTTGAGATCCTGAATCCACCAAAGTCCCCCAACAGCTCAATATGGAGGTATCCTGAATCCATCAAAATCCTGAATCCATCAAGATCCAGGCCTGCCTCGGGGCGCATAGAACCCCAGTCTTCGCCTTCAGTACTACATGTACATGTATGCATCGTATGCAACCTCGGGTGTTAAAAACACCATATCCTACATCACAGCAGTTGTATTATCAACAATTGTTAACTGAAATTCTTCCAATTTCATTTGGCTTTTTGCACGTATTATAAAAGAAAAACAACCGCACATTTAATTCACACAGTTAATAAAAGGCACATGTCATATGCACTTTGAAGCATTTTATTCGTTTCAAATAATAACACCACATCAGATAGGCCTACATGTAAGTTCATCCTTTAACCATGTTAACACATGTTGATCTTTGTGTACATAGATGCAAAAGTATACATACTTTGCGTGTTTATGGCGTAAATTGAGGACACACACATGCAACATCATCGATTACCGTAATCGAGGACAGCAACTGAATTGAGGACTCCTCGGTTGGAAAACGTGTACAAAACCATTGAGAGCTGTTGCAAAAAGTTGAAGTACAAACAAAGGAAAAGGGAAGAGGAACAAAAGAAAATCCTCGATTTACACCATAAACAAACGTAGGTAGGCATTATATTCACTGTGTGGACTTCCGAACAAAAGAGGTCCACATCAACCAGGTAGAAGCGACGTTGTGTGGACTTGGGCAAGTCCACACAGTGTTTCCACCTCTCTGGCATGTCTGGAAAACAGGTTTAGAGGCATTTTTGGGTTAGGTTTATCTGTGGCAAAATGAAGAGAAACACTAAAGGGAATCATAGACAAAAAATTGGGTTGAAAGAGTTCTCACAGTTTGAGAAAAATGATTTTTTTTCACTGGTACACGAAAGCAATGGAATGTCCACACTTGGGTGGGTGTACATACATGTATGTACCAGACCAGTATGTTTATGAATCACGTACGTATGACTATGATGAAGTACTTGTTGCATATCATTTATACTAGGCCTAGATATAAAATATGCTGTACACATACAATACATGAATGTATTATGGCATGTGTACACTGTATGGGTGGGCTGTTCCATGTAGCAACACTGCAATCTTCAGCCCCCCTCAACTTGAGTGCATTTTCAGGTCAGGACGCCGTCACGCCGAAGCCAATAATTTATTCCGGGATTGATTTTCCTCTCAGATTGCGGTGCACGCCTCCCGGCCAGTCATTCTGCATGTCGGCATTGATGCTAATCACACCGGAGCTGCTTGCATTATTTCGGGCTCGACTCCCATCACGTTGTGATGAATCCAGCTACACATTAACTGCGGTGTTTGTCGCTCGCACGGGTCGCTCGTTTAGTCAGTGCTGCTGATCGCGGGGCACCATTGGAATGGACACAGTACTTGTGTGAGTATTGGATGCACTTATTTTTTTGTTTGTCCAGATTCAATTTGGTCTTCGTTTAGTTAATTGCACTGAGTGTCTTTAATTAAGTACTTGATTAAAAATTCCAGTCCAGGCCTTGCTGACACAAACTAGAATGTGAAATTTTGGTCGGATACTGCCGGAAATTTCCTCAGAACCATATTCCAGATAACAGGCCTGCCAGCGAAATGCTTTTTCTCCAAATGAGATCGGACAATATCAAAGGAGGGCACTCTCTCTGCATTTTGAGAATAAGTTAGAGAATAAGTTATAACAAGGATTCATAAATACCTAAGACAGTTTACGCATTCCTATTGGTCGAGAGCCCGTCACGTGGCCGGTCTTAAACGGATAGTAAAGACATGGCTAGCTGGTCTTAAACACTTTTCCAGTGTCACAATAAAATGTGGACTCCTAAAAATCCAGTGCCTCTTACCGTTTCATTGGTTGAACGTTCACAATCCTCACGTAGGCATGCGCAACACTACAAGCGAGTCAGAATTTTATACTTTCTAAATTCAAAACGCAACGCCCCAGGTGCGTTCTGCGTGACATCGCGCAGAACATGTTACGCGCGCGTCAATCTCCATAAAAGGGTTGTTTACATCTTACTCGCCAGCTGAACACTCCATTATTTTGCTAGAGGGATGTTTAAAAAAGCATGAAGTGAACTTGTTGAACAAAATCGGGATTTTTTGAATGAATTATTTGATATTTTTTTACGGATAAGGTATTTATGAATGGGAATAAATATGTGCTCGGTCGGTATTTATCACTCTGTTTAATACCGCTTAGAGTCTGGGTGCTGATAATTACCCTCGCCTCCGGCTCGGATAATTATCAGCACCCAGACTCTAAGCGGTATTAAACGAGTGATAAAAACCTCCGGAGCACACATTTATTCCCTTAATAATGGTGTTTAAATCACCGACGATTTGCAGCTGATTTGTGGACTGGTTGGAAGTAGTCCTGACTTCTAATGAGGTGATCCGAGTTCGAATCCCAGTGAGCGTTTTTCACTTCTTCTCATTTTACCTTTTAAATAACTAAAGTGGGGAAGGAACATTTCTCACAAGACGTAAAGCCTATCTTGGGTTTGTCATTGTGTTGTGGAGAACAAGGCATTAGATGCATGTAATGGGCCAATCAGAAGATGTCGTTTGGGGAAAAAAAAATCACGGCCTGCCAACTCTCATGTATTGAGCGTGAGACTCACTCATTTCAGGTTATTAACATGCTCTCATGCCCACATGGGATTTCTCACGCTAAAGCCAAGATAGGCTTTATGTCTTGTGAGAAATATTTTTTGTACGTACATGTACATGTCTTGTCCCTAGCGTGTGGGGTTTCTGGCGAATGAGGAACAATCGCATTGGCTGTTATCGATATCACATTCAGTGGCGCACTCAGGATTTGGTTGGGGGGTGGGCTGAAAATTTGTTTTTTACAAATTTGTTAAAAGTTGTATTTTTTTCAAAAAAAATTGCCCAAAATTTTTGGCCGCAGAAAAAAAAATTGGTTTTTTTTTTTGAGGGGCGGCCTATTTTGACGTTGGTGGCGCCACTTACACACCTATTATACTACTCGAAAATAGGCCACATTCATATCACCAAGGCCAAATCGTGGGACTAAAAAAAAAAAAAAAAATTTACAACCTCTTCGTTGTCAATTTGTCCAAACAAAAATTGACACCCCCCCCCCCCCCCGGGTGCGCCACTGATCACATTGGCAGCAGTAAACATTGCGGCAAAAACAAATGTAGCTTACATTACATGTATTTTGATTCTATGAGCTCAGAATGACTTACTGACTCCAAACTGGAAAATGATGTTTAAATGATGATCTTTCACTAAAAAAAAATGGTCAAAAATTGCCTCAGATCATACTCACAGAGAGTCTAAAATCCCAAATTTTCCGGGGACCTTAAACGGGCCTCGAGCCCCACGCCATTAGGGCTTTGCGCTTAGCGCTCGCAATTACATGTACATCTGATAGAGCTCAATCGCCAAATTCTCACTCTCAGCTCTTACTCAAAGTTGGCAGCCTGTACATGTAGGGTCAGTCAATTTTTTTGTAACTATTCCAAGTTAAAGGGAATGTACATCATTGGCTTTTGCTGTAATTTTCAGAAATGAACTATTTGAGGGGTTAGTATAATACAATGTAGATAAAATATTGTTACACTGACATGTTTGAAGTTTTGTGTTCTAAAATGCTGGAAAAATCAAGAAAAATACAAGTGTTCAAGTAGTCTGGTTCCCTGACTCCACTAAAGATAAAATGGATCAAGGCACTCGTTCATGAACATGTAACCAATTAGCAACCAAAATTTGGACTGGAAAAAATTGATATATTTGGAGCAGTAGTTGAAAAAGCAGTTGGGTTTTTCCAACAATGGTCGGCCGACCACCGTTGGGAATTTATACAAAAATACCACTTTTCTTGAAAATGACTTCACACCAGCGCCATAATTTTACAGGATGCTTTAGACTGTCATTTACCAACATCGTAGTAAGGTTTTTCACATAAATTTGGTAGTTTTTTTTTTTTCGCTGTTTGCAAATGTTGTATATTCCCTTTAAAAGTACATGTAGACAAGGCATTTGACACACTGTACATGTATGTGACTGCTCAAGATTAAAAGACTTTTTTCAATTAAATTTCAACAAGACATGGTATCTTGTCTATTTTCCGGAGCAGTTATCGTGTCTACCTAATATCTCCCTTTGATTTGGTAGTACTGGTTAGCTGAGGCCCGTTTAATTAGCAAATTGATTACCAATTTTCCGTCAGTTACGGTAGGATTTAATTAAAGCATGACCTTATGGGCGTGTTTGATGTTGCACTTTTGCTGGCACTAATTTACATGATCTTTACACGGAAATGTACTGCATGATATGTGAATACGTGCAATGTACTGTGTAAAAAAAAAAATTGTATATTAAATATGTACAATGTATACATGTACATGTATACGTGTACATTGTATGCATGCTGCCTGGAGGTTGTGTGCTATCATCAACTGTAAAAAAAAAAAAGTCTCCAATCCATTTTTTTTGTGTCGATTGTTTCGGGGAAATATTAGAAGTAACAATCATGACGATGAATACTGACACATGAAACCTGATCTGTGAAGCAATCTTTTCTGCTAGAAAAATGAGAATATATTCTAGAGTACCACGAGCGTAGCTTCGCTCGTACCCACCACGCTTAAACAGGGCACTGGGAAGGGCTTATTTCTCAGATGCATGCTGTAATTTCTTCGAGCTCTCATTGGATGGAATTTGTTTGAACAATAATTACACACAGGTTTATGGTGTAAATCAAGGATTTTGTAAGTTGTTCCTCATCATCGATCTTTTGTTAATAACACTCATTTTTTTGCAACAGCTCCCATTGGTTTTGTACACTTTTTCTAATCGAGGTCGTCCTCGATTTGGCTCCTGTCCTCAATTATTCGATGTGTGTCCTCAATTTACACCATAAACATGCGCACACACCTAAACTTGAAACTAGCCACATGGTAATGATTTGATTGACCCTAACAGAACTCAACCCATCAAACTCCAACGGCATGTTTTGTTGGAATCTGTCAGGATGGGTACAGTACCCCTAAACTGACAGTCTTTTACATTGGGTTGGCACACCTCCAGAATCAAAGTCAAAAATACGTGTGTGCAGTTTTCCCATATGGTGTTGGAATTTGCCAGGATGGGTATGGTTCCTAGTAAATCATGCTAGGGAGTTAGGTTCATGAACAACATGGATCAGGACGCTTAAAGATATAGTCCATCATTTGTAATTAGTGCATTTTGTTCGTTTGAAGCAACAAAAGTGTTCAAAATCTAATGAAGGATACTGAACAACTAACCTGATGAAGTTTCAGCTCAGCTTCAGCTGTTTATTCCGAGAAAAACAGCATTATACATGTAGGATCTCAATTTCAAATCAAAAGTTGCTGAATCATGTTTTGAATTGGGCCTGAATTCAGCGTTCGAGACACGTACGTTCTCACTGAGCCGATTGCAGCTATACGCGATGTCGCGCACTGATCCGACGAATTATAGCAACCGCACGTACGTGTGCGTCGTGCCAATGCTTGCGCGCGCTTCGCCGAATAACAAAACGAACTACTAATGTAAATTCTGCTAAGGGCGTCTTAAGACGCACCGTTGGAAAGGCCTTCTTTCATTGATTACTTCAAAATAACAGCTTGCCAGAAAGAATAATTTCACAGAAAGTTTAGTCCCCTTTACTTTCAACCAAGTATGTTTTTCAACAATAATTAGGCCTACGCCAGTTACTTTTCGGATAGCTGCAAATGATGGACTATACACAATGATACATGTAGCTTTAAAAGTCATGAATATGGACAACACTCTATACATGTACATGTACATGTATGTACCGGTACAACCTGGTCAAGTGCCACTCTTAGATGTTGTTTACTTCACCTGGGAAGGCTTTGATGCACGGTTTTTACAACAGCCGTGCGTGCATGTGATTTACAAAATGTAGTGTAGGCCTACACTTTTGGATTTCGGATACGTGTGGAAAGACTCCGTGGCAGACCGGACATGGAGAGACGTGCACACGCATTTAATGCCGTCTTGAATGCGCACGGCCAAGGGTTTATTTTAAAGTGACCATCTCACATCATGGGCGTCGCCAGGATATTTTCTAGAGGGGGGCAAAGCACTTTTTCCCCCCAAGTCCCTACAATTTCCAGTAACCCATTAAATTTCCCCCCACCCATTAAATTAACAACAATATGGCTTAGCGCCTCTTCCTTTTTTTGTTTTCCCCCCCCTTTTTTTGTTGCTTGTTCAGGGGGAGGGGGGGGAGGCAAGCCCCCCCCCCCCTTCCCTCCCCCCCCCCCCTCGTGACGCCCCTGTCACACATGATGAAGAAATGTATGCTCAATTTTCATGAGCTAAGCGAGAATTGGTCACTTGTCTGGTGTGTGATAATTAAAAATTAATTAAACACTTCAGTGCTTCATGTTTCATTTTACATGTGACAAAGCCATGTGTGGAAATGTGTGCAATGTAATTTGCACTGTATGAACAATACTCAAAAACTCTGCTCTAATATTACATTGTATTTTATACATTACAAGGAAAATTCTGTGACTCGGCAATCATACGTGTTGGTACACTTTGTGCACAGTTTATTTCTCAGTGAAACGTGTTATGTTGTATCCCACATGAATTCACAGCATATTTAGCACAAACTGTCTATTTCTTTGGAAAGAAATATTTGAAATATATGGGGGAAAAAAATCTAAATCCTATTTTAGGGTCCACTTTAAATGTAAAAAAAACTTGTAAGCGATCCTGGGAAATAAAATCTAAATCCTACCGGTAATTAGGATCCACTATAAATGTTAAAAGAACAAGGGATCATGTTATTTTTGTTTGGCACAGGTCCAGCTAGTTTTTCAGCCGGGGGGAGGGGGGGGGGGAAAATTAATTTTTTTACTGCAATTTCTGTATATTTTGACATGACATCCAGGCAAACACTTTGCTTGCCTTGCCATTCTGTACGTAAGTTTATTTCATCTACAGTTTGCATTTCAAGAAACAACATGGATTTAAAAAAAACTGTTCTTGCTGTCGTGCGCAACTGACTGCACTGTTTGTGAAGTACAATTGTATACGCACCTGGAAATATACAGTGCCTGCATTGCCCTGAGCAAGGAGATTCAAAGGGTTTTGACAAAACAGAGTTTGGCATTCACTGCAGGTATTCTGCGATGAATTCCGTTGCTTTTGGGCATTGTCACTGTGTGTTTGTCATTGACAGGTGCTTTTGTTTTGATGTGTCAGTGAACTGAACTGCGGAACAAAGCATTTTGTCAGTGTTGCAAAAAAAGATGTGGGGATGTTGTAGTGTGTATAACATGTATAATAGTCGCTTTGAATTTCCTTGGCATGAAACAACTGAGAATAAGTCTGTCCCGGCTTGGGGGATGCCCTTTGCTGGTCACTCCCCAGATACAACGCCAGCACAGGTCATTAACCTTAAATTCCTAGGCATTTTTGGCAATCCTGCAAAATCCTCCACCTGCCTTCCTGTAAAGAGTGCATGCAGCCTCAATCCTGCAAAATCCTCCATTCTTTCTTGAATGTGTTCCTTGGAGGAGTGACCACTGTCTCATCATCCTAAAAAATCCTCTGTCAAAATGTTCAGGCAGAGCCAGTGACATCCTGGAGCAGTGCAGAGGATTTCAAGTATATATGGTATAGGCCCTAATCTAAGCCTAAATTCATGTGCGGCTTCAAACAACACAAGGTCCGGCCCAAGACCGACAGTGCATCCTCCAAACTCATCTACATGTATAGCCTCAATCCTGCAAAATCCTTCATTTTTCAAAGACAATTTTGGAGGATTTAAGTAAGATTTGAGGCTTTGCATGGTGGAGATACTAAATAATGAAAGGTTTGCGGAAACACCATGTGCGAATAATTTCTCAACTAAGAGAATGGTTCTGAAAAGAACCAGAGGTACGGTATACCAGAGTTTATACCTCTGGTTCTTTTCAGAACCATTCTCTTAGTTGAGAAATTATTCGCACATGGTGTTTTCGCAAACCTTTCATTATTTGGAGGATTTGGGAAGATGAGGGTTAATTCTCAGAGTGGAGAGCAGCAAGTGACGCATGAACATTGCAAAACTCTAATCACTTCACCACCCTGTACTCCCGTGGTTTAAAAATTAGAGTAGATAGACCTATAATTCAGTAAGCCATGCATACTGTACATGTCATGCCTGCATTCTTTAAAAATTCACAAGGATTTCAATCGAATTTCAAATTAAACAAAAAAAAAATGCTTCTGCTGCTGCAGTGCCATTTGGACCTCTTTTGACCATGGATGACTGATGTATTAAAAGGCATTAATGAGATGAAAAAAATACATCAATTCCAAAAGAAAGTATTCATGTGGTACCTTAATATGAATCATTAATAAATTTCCTTTTAATTCATGTAGGTTACACAATTAATCACCATACCGGTAGAGTTTAATATTATGGTTTGCCTTTCGCCGACGTACAGTATGAGCTAACGTTATTAATTTGCCTCACTTTCCTTGTAGGATTGTGTCCTAATGAGGTGATGTGCATCGGTACCTGATTGATCAGTGGGGCAAACTTCAAGTTCTCAACCCAGTGCTGAAGACTAAATTTCTTCACATTCTGCAACAGCATGGAGAGGGAAAGCTGGTCACTGCTGATGCGTCCAATCATGTGCATCTAACACACTAACTGTATCCAGGTAAATATTGTGCTGTGTATATTATTAGTTATCCCGCAAGTGCGAGTGGAACACGGAATAATGTAGTGCCTCTTCGGCTTCGTGGTATGTGGGGCACAGACGCACTACATGTACATTTGCCGTGTCTAAAGAAACTTAAACGCGATACAGAACTTATCTTCAAGCAAGCTTGACGCACTAATAAATTTAACAAGCACAAAGTTTTCAGCGGTTATCCTATTACACGTGTCTGTTGTAGGGAATGGAGCTTGCATCTTAGAGTAGCGCAATACGCGGAGTGCGGTACAGACCGTGCCGTACAACGTGGTTGTATGTAGCACGGCTTGTTGCCATGGATCAACCAATCAGGATCGAGGATTTGAGTTTACTTGAAGATAATATTAGTTATCCGACAAGTGCGAGTGGAACACGGATGGTACGTCTGTGTCCCGCATAACACAACCGAAGACTTCATGATATGTGGGACACAGACGCACTACATTTTGTCGTGTTCCACGAGCGTGAGTGGTACAACAAATTTATCTTCAAGCAAACTTGATGCACAGTAAAGATGGAACATGCACGGTGTACACAAACTTATCAGCGGTTATCTTTTTACTCGTGCGTGTTGTACGGAATGGCGTCCTATCCACTGTGAGTAGAACTGCAAACACTGGTAAGCAAGGCATGTCGCTCACATCACCTTGTGTGAAACTGAAAGGCCCTCTAGTAACGGCATAAACCAGCTCAGTAATGGCAGTCGTACTCTTAGATTAGTCTGTCGGAAGCGTGACATTTCAATGAATTAGAATTCTGCATGACAGATACCATGGCACCCTGGCCTGAGGGTGCATCACTAGGAGGTTCATTCTGTCACACAGCAACTGTAGCAGGCATATGTCAAAAGCCTTTCACTGCTCTTACAGACAAGTGTTGACTCTCGAGAGATGCCCAGAAGGTGAATTTACAATCAGACGTCAAGCAGTTTCCCAACCCCCCCCCAAAAAAAACCCTATGTAATTGTCCCCAAAGATGGATGAGTCCCACCCGAGTGATTTTTTTCCACCTTTCACTTGGGAAAAGTTATTCACTTTTGAATGAGACGTCGAATGAAAAGCATTTACCCTCTGTTCAGACAGGCGTGCTAGAGTCGCGCCGATCCGAAGGCAAGATTTGAATTGAGTACTTGAAAGGTTCGACGTCTGAAACAAATAGGAGCGACAAGACGCACCAGATAGCGAAAGATCGATGGTCGGAGTCGTTCAAAACGACTCAGGAGCGACTGGGTTACAGACGTCGCTCTAGTCATGAGCCGAACTCAATGCAAATGTATGTAAATGTATGTAAATAAGTAGTGACCTTCAAAAATAAGGACTGCAGGCGATGTGTTTAACGCACGACGCAGTGCTTATAATTTAAAATTTTTCTTTTTGCGGATTTAATCCTTTCAAACACGAGATTTCGATGTCGTGTTACAGAGCAAAAGCTTACAATAAATGTACGTCCCACTGTCGCCCCAATACAACACAAGATACATTTTTTTAAAGCGGAAAACCGAGACTTCCAGTATCCATGTTGTACAGGCACGGCGCAGTCTTGAAATACAAATTGTTCGTACGTGGCATGACGTGCAAGAGATAACGCGAACGCATGGCGTACGTGCTAGCAGCCTGTCTTATTCGATACGCGCGCACTTCGCGCAGTACGCTCTCAATCATCGTCGATGTGTGGGTTACGTATTACACGGCCAGGCGTTTGCGTAGTGAAGGACCGCGCACGCAGCCCATGCATCGGCGCTGCACAACGCCGGCTTGTTGCCGGCGTTTGTTGTTTGTTGGTTTGTACACAATACTCCAATGTATTAAGTTCGCCTGTCTGAAACCAAAATTCTAATAAGGTCGATCTGGAGTCGCTCCCTATCTATTTGGTTCGGTGCGACTCTGGAACGCCTGTCTGAACCGGGGGTTAGTTATTGAATTACATCTTCAGAAAATTTCAATTATTGTATGCCAGACAATCACCCGGCTCTTGCCGGGCGGGTTCATTTCTGTGCAACATGAAAGCCCTTTATCAGGGGGTTGCAGATGCTAAAAATAAAGTAGTTTACGGAATAAAGTAGTTTACGTGTACATGTATTTTTCATTAAATCAAAACATACAAATTTTGTGAGGAGAAAAAAAAACCTGGCACCATTTTTGAAGAGTACAAGGTAATGTAACTTTAATGCTACATGTAGCTTGCTAACTTTAAGGGAATATACAACATTTGCAAACATCAAAAAACAAAACTACCAAATTATTATTAAAAAGCTTACTGGATTGTTAGTGAATGACAGTTTAAAGCATCCTGTACAATCATGGCAACTAGTGCTCTGTCATTTTCAGGAAAAGTGGTATTTTTGTATCGATTTCTAACGCTGGTCAGCCGACCAGCGTTGGAAAAAAACTGGCTTTTTTTTCAAATACTGCCCCCAATTTACCCTATTTAGTTAGTCTGAATTTGTTTGCAATCGATTACACATCCATGGACGGGTACAAGCATTCTAGACTGGTTGACCTTACAATTCCCCGACGTCTATAAATTTCAACAGTTCAATTTAAGCGGGGTCAGGGAACCCGACTACAAGAAAATTATTGTTTTTTCTTGGTTTTGCCAGCATCTACCGGTACGAACACAAAACTTCAAACAAGTCAGTGTAACAATATTTGCTATAAAATACTAACCCCCAAATCCATCCATTTCTGAAAATTACAGCAAAAGCAAATGTTGTATAATCCCTTTAAAGCAGTTCCCCCGCACATCTGTTACCAGTATGATGAAATGTGCAACAGCGCAAAAACAGATCTTGCCGTAAAAAGGTCATCAAATTCCTTCGATATTTTCATTAAAATGTTGAAGGTAATGGTAAATTGGGCTTGAAAATATGCCTGTCAGGAATCTTTAGTTTAAAAAGGTCATCAAATTCCTTCGATGTTTTCATTAAAATGTTGAAGGTAATTGTAAATTGGGTTTGAAAATATGCGTGTCAGGAATCTTTTAGTTTAAATACATGAAGGATCCAGTTTCATGTGGCCTTTAGAGGTCTACGCCCGAGTCCGACATCTGGATCATCACGTTTCCATGTTTGTCTGTCAGTCGAGCATTTTCAAGCCTCACCGTCTTGCTGTCAACAAGAAGTAATCAGACGATTTAATCAGGTTCTGGCGGATAGAGTGTTAGTAACCCAAGCGATAGAAAGAGTTTGAGCCGAGGCATGCGATACAGAATTATACTCTTGAGACTGCGTACTGTCACGGCAGTTGGCTTGGTACATGTACATTACTTGTACGGGAGAAAAAAAACCAAGAAATGTGGACGTGGCTGTCTTCTCATTTGAGAGTCAACCATCTTGAATTGAAACGAGGCATCTGGGTCTGTAGGATACATTGTTACAAAAAGAGCACCAAATTTTGGGGCGGTTTCGGCCGTATTGAATGCTTTGAGTGGTGTAGTAAAACTAACCTCCCGAGATGATCCATGGACATTATATTTTCCTGAGGCCAAGCCGAGGGAAAATAGAATGCTCCATGGATCACCGAGGGAGGCTAGTTTTACTTCACCACGAGATAAAGCATTCAATATTTGTTTTATAACACTTCGACCACAGATTCTGCTTGGTTTCATATTTTAAATTATTTAAATCTGAACACAGTTAAATAAACTTCAATTTCAATACAAAATTTGTGGAAAATGTATTTCTCTCTTCCAAACTACCCCTTCGCGAAATGTTTGAACCCAACTCTGTGGCGCGCCCTCTTTGGAACAAAACCCGCTACGTGCAACGTGCAACGCGCACACCAGCATGCATTTGCACACAAATACCTCGCCGTGGAAATAGTACTTTGGTTGCTAATGGTATAGTACTTTGGTTGCTACGGGTATAGTACTTTTGGCCGTGCACAGAAAGATAGCAAAAATAGAAAGTATCATGTGACTCGCTCTCGGCCAATCAAGACACAGAATCTGCGGGTGAGGTGGTATAAACTATAATGAGTAATAGGCCGGGCGGTTTCGGGTGCAACAGGGACTAACTCTGAAGCTGTGCGTCGATGTGATCATGTGATTATCTTGGAAGACACACACTGCAATGTTCACTGGCAGTATTATTCTAGCAGCATTTTTCAGCAAATGTAAGTTGCATTCTTCTGCATCCAGCAACTCTATGCGTCCTACGAAATGCCAAAGCCGGGTAATTGCCTAGTTTACATGTCACACTGAACTTGTTTTGAGCTTTTGTTTTTACATTCCCTCGACTGCTGATGATTGCTTTGTCAAACAAAATGCTTTTAGCGATGCAGCCTCGTTGTTTGACTTTGTCTTGTGTAAGCATGTACCTGTGCGTTTCTTGTATGTCAAGTCGAATCTACAAGTCTTCACTCACAAGATAGTATTCAAAAGACTTTATCTCTGAGGAGGAAGTCACATCATACATATAAAGTGTTGTGTACAGCATGCATCTTGGAAAAATCTGTGTGAATTTCACCTCACTCTGTCTGAATCTGTGTTTTGCTTTGTGAACGTGACACAAAGACATATGTAGGCCTACCTGCAGCAGTCTTCGACTATGGACAAAAAATGACAAATCCTGGAGAGATTGAGAAAAAATGACCAGAATGTTTGTACCAATGTACATGTACATTTTCAATGGACCACTTTCGCCTCTTGCTGCCAGGCCCATTTATGCGCATGTGCACATGTATGTACATTTAATTTATTAGTAAAATGGTCCATTGACCAGAGGTACAATGTACATGTATTACAATTACTGTGTGTATTATCTGCTGCAGACTTGTAAAGAATGAGACAGTAAAGCCAATTTTATTTCATATTTTCCATCTACTACAAAAATGTAGGCCTACATGTACAAATGTATATACTTTCAGAGATTCTGTTGATAAAGGCAAAGTTGGAGGCTTACCCCCACAAAAAAATTCCCCCCAAAACAAACAGACAAACAAACAAAAAATCAAGAAAAAAATCTT